GGTTTCCTCACAAACCGGCATGTTGCAGTTGATTTAGATTACCCAAATCAAAAGATGTTTCACCCTTTGCCACCAACTCTTGGACCTGGCGTATATCTTGGTTCTGTTGAGAGGGCTACATCTTTCATTAGAGATGACCTTTGGTATGGCATTTTTGCTGGCTTAAATCCAGGTCAGTTTGCTACTTCCATTTTTATCTTTACTATGAAGTTACCATTATTTACAAACAAGATCCTTTCAAGAAAAGCTTTGATCAATTATTTTCCTGATTGCTTCTGTTTGTTTTTTGTTGGATGTTCTGAACTTTCTGTGATGACATGGACTGACAGACCTCGTATGGAGGGGAGTCTCCCAATGCATGTTACTCCGTTCTCCTGTTATGACTTAGTTGAGCTGCTATTATGGGTGTAAATGTGTAATTAATAGTTACTGAGTATTTAACCAGCTTGGTTGGCGTGAGTGGCCATGCACTCTCATCCCTTAAGAGAGGTCGGGAGTTCAAACCCCCTCTCGTATGAAAAAACCAATCTGGCCAGCACTTTGCCCCTTAATTGGGCCGGCCCGGTGCAAATGAGGATTAGTCTGAGCCTGGTACAGGCTTAAAGGTGCATCCTACAGTTAGGGCCTGTTCAGGACACCTCATGGTCTAACCAAAAAAAATAGTTACTGAGTATTTGTTTTCTTACAGTTGTGATTATTCAAATGCAGAGACATTTGTAAGAGCAGACGGTGCATTCATTCCTTTCACAGATGATTTTGACATGACTGCAGTGACGACATCTGTGAAAGGCATTGGAGAGATAGGAGGTGTCAAGATCATAGACTTGCAAGCCTCCATCAATAGTCTTATCGGGAAGCAGGTGATGAAGGTCGGAAGGAGTTCTGGTTTTACCACTGGGACTGTGTTGGCATATGCCCTTGAATATAACGATGAAAAGGGGATATGCTTCTTAACTGACTTTCTGGTGGTCGGAGAGAACCAACAGACTTTTGACCTTGAAGGGGACAGTGGTAGCCTAATAATCTTAAAGGGTGAGAATGGGGAGAAAGCACGACCAGTCGGGATCATATGGGGTGGAACTGCAAATAGGGGTAGGCTTAAATTAAAAGTTGGCCAACCGCCAGAGAACTGGACTAGTGGGGTTGACCTGGGACGTTTGCTCAAATTCCTTGAACTTGATCTCATCACAACCGAGGAAGCTTTGAAAGGTTAGTAGTAGCCTTTTACGTCGAAAACCTTTAACTTCATTGGGCACTAGCGGTTAAGAAAACCTATGTACAATGTTGTTGTAGTTGCAGTACAGGAACAACGAGTTGCTTCAGCAACAATGGTGGGCTCCACAGTGGGCGATTCTTCGCCTCCCGATGTGATGCTCCTAAAGGACAAAATGGAGCCCTTGGGACTTCATATCCAACCGATTCCAATCGAAGATCCTGCTGGTAGTGGCCCCGATATAAACTCATCTCCAGTGGAAGCTGCATTTAACATCGAAGATGGAGGGGTGAACTTGGGTCCCAGTATCGAACACCAATTCATTCCAAGCTTCAATGGGCGATCACCGCTCCATTCTGTCGAAGATCAACATGACAGGCCAGTGGTTTATCAGAACCTCTCAGCTCTAAGGAGTGGCTCTGATCATGAAGAGATTGGCTTTTCTCTGCAGCTGGGAGGCCATGCATCCAAGAGGAGACGTTCTGAACCTCCTTCTACCCCCAGTAAAGAAGAACAAAAATGAAATTGCCATTTCATAATTATTTGTTTCAACTTATGTTGTTTGCTTGGGACTCAAGTAGGAGTGCAAGACTCAACAATATTCTCTCTTTTTTAAATATCACTTTTTCACAAGTGTGCTTTTCCCCCTTCAGATTGCTTTTTTCTTCCATTGCTTAAATAATCAAATTAATAATTAAAATTTAAATAAGAAAATATCACTATAATTAATTGATAAATTATAAATTAATTCAAATATGTACTTTTTTTTTTCTGAATACTATTGATCCTATTACATTGTAGAAGCACAAAGAGTACGAGAGTCACTACATGTCATCTGAGTACAAGTTGTTTGACTCAAAGATGTACTTTAAAAAGTTGTGTTATAATTATTATGAAATGATGCGATGCAAAAATGTATTAATGTTTTATTACTATAAACATAAAATATTGTAATATTTTTTTTTGTAAATTAAATGGTAGTTATTTATAAATATTTTACCACCCTTCTTATTTATAATAGTTGGACATGATACCTTTTTAACCTCTAAGAATTTACATAATTATCATGTCACACTAATGTTTTATCTTTTCAATAGGCCTTTAGTTTTTACTTTTATCTACAAATTCTATGTGTAAATAATGGTTATGTTCCTAATTCTTGTACCATTTTTTTTAGTGCGCTAAGAGAGTTGAACTTTATTTTTAAACTATTGTACATTATATTTTTGATTGATGGAAATGCTCTCTTGTTGTTTAGGGATGACAATTTCAATCTACCACAAATATCTACATGAATCTGCCTTGCATGAATTGATTTTTTTTTTTTTTTTTTTTTTGGGGGTGATAGCAAGTCCAAGTCGGACTGGGTCTTAAAAATTAAACCTGCATCGGGGTCGGGTTGGGTGCAAATTTTATATACACGATAGGTACTCATAGTGGCCACTCACATCTGTTGGGGTGGAGTGTACTTTAAAAAAGTCCACCTAGTACAAGTCTGGGGTGTAGGTGGATAGAGAAAGTATAATAGGGGTCAGTCGGGTAGTGGATGTAGTCGCTCTTGACCTATTATCAACGTTAATTAACATTTCAATAAGAGCATTAAAAAAAACATTAAATTGTCAATTTGACCCCATCTATTTTTTTTCTAATCAATATTATCATATTTTTGTTTTGGTCAATTTTATAAAGTCTTTGGTGTGCTAATTTTATTCAATTTGTTCAATTCTTAGCAATATATATTCCTCTTGCTAATTTAACATATTTTCTATTTAACCATGAAACATAAATCATTGATTCACTACATATATTTAAGGGAAAATGGCACTTTTTCCCTCTGTGTTATATACTTATAGCACTTTTTCCCCCTATATTATTTAAGTGGCAATTTTCCCCCCTAATATATTAAATGGACATATTTACCCTTAAAATAAATATTTCCTTTATTTTACTTCTCCAATAAATTATAACCACAATTTGAAAAAATAAAATACATTAATTGTTGAATTTAGAATACTTTAAAAATAAAAAAATAAATTTTAAAATAAAGTTTGAACCAACAGTTCAAATTGGATCAGAAATTGTGAAACAACGATTCAAAATAAAAACCAAATCGCGATTATATATACTTATATGTGAGATCAGAGTCAATATAAATGCGAAAAAAACATACACTATTTGCAAATATTATAATTCTAATTTTAAGCTATTGCTAGTAGTTGTTCCGATTTGAACCTCTGGTTCACGGTTCAGAATCTATTTTTTTCCACTTCACAATTTTAATAAACGGAAACCCAAATATTGGGTTATGTTATGAATCATAACCGAATTTTTTTTATTTGATTGCTATAGTGTTCGGTTCAGTTCGAACCGAACCGTGGCCATCCCTACGTATAAACAATAATTTGTTGAACAAGAGAAATAAATAAAATATGTATTTTAAGGGTAAAAATGTCTATTTAATATTATCAGGGGGAAAAACCGCCACTTTTATAATAATTGAGGGGGCAAATGTGGATGCATGAATAACTCAGGGGGAAAAAGTGCTATAAGCATATAACATAGGGGGAAAAAGTGCCATTTTCCCTATATTTAATTAATTAATCTAAAAATTGAAAGAAAAAATGGTATCTCATGAATTTCTCCTTATAAAAAAATTATTTCAATTTATAATTTATTGTACTATTAAATGTTTTCAAAAATAAATATTACTTCCTTTTAAATAAAATTATGTAAAATACTGATTATTTTAGAATTGTACATTATTAATTTAAAATTTATTAAAACAAAAAAAAAAAAAAAGATCCTAAATAAACTTGTTATTTTCAAATGTCAAAATAAAACATGTCAATTCATTAATGGATTGTTTATTTTCTCCATTACTATAAAATAAAATAAATATATTTAGAGGATTCTTGACGTGTTATGTATTTGGGTCTCTCAAATTCAAAAAAATGAGTCAAAACATTAACCCATCAAGTGAGTTTTATACATTTTGACTTGGGGATTGCATAAGGGTGCTTTATGCACAACAGGAAGAGATGCGGGAAAAGCAAATCAAGATGAATCTTATTCCCGCTCTAAACCTTACTTTCTTGCGAGGATCATTGGCAGAGAAGTAATTAAGCAACCTTCGATAGTTTAATTAGCATTAGCAATGCTAAATTAACAAAGGGGTAAAACTTCTACCATAGCTTCATCCTCATCACCTCATATAGTCATCGACTAGGATCAAGGGTTTGTCGCTTATGGCTAAGGTGTAAGTGAATGAATTTATATCACGATCGACTAAAAGGAAGATCCACTCGAAGATATTGGTTCAAATCCAATTCGTGAAAAAGAAGTGTCAAATGATTTTTATAGTTGCCGTGTTAACATAGCAGGGAATATTAGGACACTGAGGCGCTCGATGAGTATAGTATTTGCCGAGCTTTTGAATTCCCTATTTTCAATCGTTACAGTTGCGTCAATCAACTGTCATACAGACGGACACGAAAGAAACACAGATGACGAAACTGCAAAAGAGACCTTTTATATATTTGTTACATATATTAATTACTTAATGTTTACTTTTATCAAACACTTTTGACTAATTTAATAACTTTAAACTCTTAATTAACTTTTTGGTTAAGATTGACAAAAAAAAAAACCAAAATTTTGGATAGTATGTGTTGAAATTTCTAGTTTTCTATCATAAAAAGAACAAGAAATAAATGTTCCTTGAAGAGATGTTAGGCCCAATGGCTTTATCAACAAGTCAGGCCCATAATTGCGAAGCTCAAGATCAGATTACTCGTCCCCTCATTGACTCTCGCGCTTCGCCTCTCTTCACCCTCTCAGAGCTAGGGTTTAACTAAGCAGTGTGAATCACTGACTAGTGAACAACCGCGAGCGCCAGCCATGGCTAAACCAGGCCGAGGCCGTCCGGCGTCACCTTCCGGTTCTTCTCGCTCTCCCTCGCGGTCGCGTTCTCGTTCTCGCTCACCGTCAAGGTCTCGTTCTTACTCCGGCTCCGGTTCTCGGTCCAGTTCTCACTCTCGATCTCGCTCTAGGTCCTACTCTTCCTCTTCCTCTCATTCTCGCAGCGGTAGTTCGCGCAGCCCGAGCCCACCTCGGAGAAAAAGGTATATTTCAACCTCCAGTCGCCTCTAGTGCCCTCTTTGAAATGCATATGAAAAGCATACAGTTATGCTGACTATGGATATAGTTGTAGCTCTTGTTAATTAAGCTTTTTTTTTCATTTCCCACATTAACCAAGCATTACATTGTGGAGTAATTTCATGAAAATCTGGATTTTATGTAAATTAATTGAATTTCTGGAAAATTGTGAGATAATGGAAACTCTAAACACACTGAAATGTGTAGTTGAAACAATCCACCCACAAGCTTGTTATTATTCGTTTAGGTACAGACAAAGCTGAAGTTCCATTGGAATATTACATGGGGGGTAGGTTATTTATGTGTTAAAATCTGACCCAGCAATTAGCCAGTGACTCAGTGAGCTCATTTCTGGATTGTGAGAACCTAATTTGTCAAGTTACCATGTTGAAAGTAATATTTACAAGCATGGAAACATTTTTCGGTTTCTTATGTAAGGATGGCTATTTGACTCCCCTTATATTTTTTTTTTATTTTAATTTTAATTCTTTTAATTTTTCTGAGCTGGTTTATATGTTTGCTTTGTCTTACTTGTGCATTAATGATTCACCACTGTTTTACCTTGTATGGAGCTTTTCATAGTCCTGCTGAAGGATCAAAGCGAGGTCGTTCACCAGCAGCACAGCCAAAAAAAGCTTCTCCACCTCCAAGGTAAAGCTTCTTTAAAATTCTGGAATCAAATAAATTCTATAGTGGTGATAGGGTCCCAGAGCTCAATATGAGTTATACTTTCAAATAATAGTTATAGCCTTTTATGGTAAGAACAGTTTCCTCTGCACCACTAATTTTTAATTTGTAGCTGAAACTCATAATGATGATTTCATGCCTTGCAATGTTCATGAGAAAAACTTGTAGTTTATCCTTGGAGAAAACAATTACTTGAATAAACAGTATCCCTGTGCCTTATGGGGTGTGCATGGAAACAATACTAACTTGCTGCTATTACATAAATGCTACACTTCTGTCTTGCATTTCTAGACTAATGCATGAATGATTTCAGGAAAGTTTCTCCTATTCCGGAGTCTCTTGTGCTACACGTGGAGCACCTTAGTAGGAATGTCAATGAAAACCATTTGAAAGAAATATTTGGTATGTTAACTGTGTATATGGGACTATTGAGACAGTTCTTCAATAAGATTGTTAAAAGTACAATTTTTTTTGCCCTAAATTTATTTCTTTTACTTTTCAGGTAACTTTGGTGAAGTTGTGCGCGTGCAGCTGGTAATTGATCGTGAAGTAAGCATTTAATTTCTGTCTCATTGGAAGATGTAACATAATATTTATTTCTCTTCATTATGGTTATGAGGGAACGGTGTTGGACTTTCAGGTTAACCTTCCTAAAGGATATGCATATGTTGAGTTCAAGAATAGACCTGAAGCTGAGAAAGCCTTACTTTACATGGATGGAGTATGCCTATTATGTCTGAGGATGCCTTTCTTATTTTTTTTTCTTGACTATCCAATTCACAAATAATATTGTGTTGATGATCTTATTTTAGGCCCAGATTGATGGAAAAGTTGTTCATGCCAAGTTCACGCTAGCTGAGAGAAAGAAAGCTTTTTCACCTCCTAAGCCTGTGGCACCTTTTAAGAGAGATGGTCCTAAAAGTGATAATGTCACTAATGATGTTGATAAAGATGGTCCAAAGCGGCAGCGGGAACGTATGTTATCCATTTCGTTATTACTACATAGTAATAGTTTCTTGTGGAAAGAATTGAATGATTAATTTTATACAGCCTCTCCTCGCCGAAAACCTCTCTCTCCGCATCGAAGGAGATCTCCAATTGGACGAAGAGGATCTCCTAGACGAGAACCCGACTCTCCTCCCCGTCGGTCTCCTGTTCGTCGTCGAGATTCTCCTTATAGACGTGCTGACTCTCCACCTACAAGACGGAGGCTTACACCTCCACCAAGAGGAGGGCGTTCACCCTCTCCACCAAGGCGTTACCGGTCACCACCTAGGTTTGTTTTATTTTATTTTATTTTATTGTGGGTAGGTGAAATAGGATATATTTGAGCTATTTCTGACTACATTTTAATAGGGGGTCTCCTAGAAGAATCCGTGGAAGTCCTCTTCGAAGACGTTCTCCCCCTCCTCCTCCAAGAAGACGGTAATTTGACATACTGTTACCTGAAGATAGTGATATTTTTCCATTATACAATATTTTCTAGATTATATTTCATTGAGAAAGGCAAGCTGTGGAAGTGCTTGTTAATATTGGAGTGCATTTCTAATATAAATCATAATAAACCCTGACTTTCAAAAATCTGAAAATTGCATGGGTAACTTGTGGTATGACTGGTATTGACTTTCTGTTTATATTTGCTTAATTGCTTATGGTAAGTCCTCATCTTGTAGTTCACCCCGGCGAGCACGTAGTCCTCCCAGACGGTCTCCCATCGGTCGCAGACGTAGCCGCTCTCCTATAAGGAGGCCTGTACGATCACGTTCGAGATCTATTTCTCCTAGGAGGTAATGGATAAGTGTGGCCTTATTCCATAGATTATTCACACTTAATTTGAAAGTTTGACAGTGCTATATTGTACTGTATGGTTTTTCTGTGTTAGATATTTCTTCCGTCTTTCAGGTTATTTAACTAAATGGCATCTTAGGCACTTTTACTACCCCCTACTGGAGGGGTAAGAGGGTATATAATAAATTAATAAGACTAGTATTATTAAATTGTTCCCTAGACATGGAGAGAAGAATCTATAACTATTAGCCACCACACTTGAGAATTGAATTATTTCAAAAACTCAATAAATTAGTCTTCCCAAGTACTCTTTTCTAAATTACCATGCTTCATTCTGACCATTTGGACTGGTACTGCAATGTCAACAGAGCAAGAGGAGGACCACCTTCTAGACGCGGGAGGTCATCATCTTACTCCTCATCACCCAGTGCTAGGAAGGTTTGTATTTGTGGGTCAACTTTAGCAAAATGTTGTACTTAATGAGTAGCAGCATGCTAAATAATCTGTTGGCTATTGCAATTGCAGGGACCACGCAAAATATCTAGGAGTCGCAGTCCTAAAAGGTATGATTTCGCAGCTTTTTGTGTGTGCACACATATATAGTCCATTTTAATCCTTTGATATATACAGATGTTCATGTAAAAGGGTTTGTTCTTCTCGCCATGTGATTTTTTCTGATTTCTTCATCTTTTTTCAGGCCTTTAAGAGGAAAAAGCCCCAGCAACAGTAGCAGCAGTGGGTCCCCACCACCATCACGGAAGCCCTAGGGTGGAAGTTAGTAGTAAATTTCATGTACCGGTTGGCATCTGGATATGATCTATAAGAGTTTTAGCTTAATTGTGTATCCTCTGTAATGTGAAGTTGATTGTTGGATGTGGAATCTGTCTATCATGGTATGTCTTTTCATTAGTTTGAGTGTGAGATAATTTGAGCTTAAAAGAACCAGACATTTTGCATAGGATGGGATGGTATATCTGTCTGTTAATGACTTGGATTTCCATTTTGGTTCGTTCAGTTTTTGTACTCCGTATTATTTATTCCCAAATTGATCTCCCCTGTACATAAATGGCATCAACCCATTGTATCCACATCAATTTTCCATTTTGTTTTAGCAAGGAGAGCTTTGTTCCAAATTTTACAATCCCTCCCGGATGCCATGCGAAGACAAATATCATTTCAAGCAATATAAAAACATCCCATGGTGTTGGTATTATATTTTCTCTTATAAGTAAGTGGTACTTGTCAACATTACTTATTATTATGAAAAATGTAATGTTTTTGATGGAAAAAAATAATACTTTCACATCAAGATGCATAAGTATTATATTTTTCTTCAAAGTATTACGTTTTCCCTTATAAGTAACAAAATCCTTATTCATGATTAGTTTTACATTTGAGAATATAAGTATGATATTTGCATGTTGATTTGACGTGACCCGACTTGTCTCACGAATAAGGATCCGTGAGACGGTCTCACACAAGCGTGACCCTTTAGTAAATTATTTTGTGGACTCATGTTCACCTTGCAAGGTAAATTCGGGTCTAATGTTCACAATTTACATACTAAATGTTTACAATTTATCTTTTAAAAATTCACAATTTTGTATACTACACAATGTTAACATATATTTAATTGGTTATCTTGTTTTGTATTTCCTTTCAAATACTGCAGTCACACACCCTATATTGTATTCCCAAATTTCAATACTAAATATACATAATTTATACGTCGTTTATGACCAGGGTCCACCTTGCAAAATGAACCCCGTCCATGATATAACAATTCCAATCATTTCAAGCAACATAACATCTTTTTACACACCATAAAAACATCCTATGGTGGGTATTATTGATTTGTTTTTGTTCATTTTGTTTTTTTTTTTTTCCTCTTGAGAATTCTACCTTTAGTCATACAACTATTTTGACAAACCTTTCAAAAAAAAAAAAGAGACTATTTTGACAATTTTATATTTAATCTTTAACTTTTTATTTCATTGCATTTTTTTTTTAAAGCAAACACAAAGCAATATTATTACTTTAGATGCATTAAAATAAAGTTAGGAGAGACTACTTCCGAATACATTGTGACATGAGCTGAGGTAGTCGAAGCTAGAGTATGAGCAATACTGTTCAAAGTTCTAGGTACCGATACTATAGCACTAGAAGAGAAAGTAGCCATGATAGCTCTGCAGTCGTTGACCACAACGCCAACGTATGATCTCGGGGTAGAAGAATCATTGGTAATGTATTTCTGTAAAGTTGCACAGTCTGTGTAAAGGGACACAACCGTTACTTCTCGAGCTTTCAACCATGATAAAGCCTCCTTACATGCCAGGGCCTCCGCGGTGAGCGCATTTTCGCAGTATGGTAGGACCCCGTTCGTAGCGGCTACAAAACTGCCATCGTCCGCTAGCAACACCACGACACATGCCGTCGCTCCTGAGCCGGGGTCGAAAGACGCGTCGAAATAGCAGTGCAAGCTCGGTACAGTCGGCGATGCTTGCTGCTGCTGGGAGTGTGCCAGCGCACTGCTGTCCAGCCGCATTCCAGGTCGTGACCGACGCCACAACAGACCAGCAAACCTGGCTCGGCATTCGCAGATAAGCTACCGAGGCAGCTGTATTTCTTGCACTCCATAATTGGTAAAGCACTGCAATAACTTGAACAAGAATTCCCGGGGTTAAGACGGACATAGCATTCTGAAACCATTCTGCAAAAAGACTACCATGCACACAAGATATAGGGAGATGGGATTCATTCCAAACACGGTGTGCATACACACACCCGAACAAAGCATGCAATATATCTTCATTAAAGGAAGCACACATAGGGCAATATAGGTCTATATCAACTCGTTTTTCAATTAGGGCGGACGAGGTAGGCAGAATATCCCGAATTGCTCTCCATAAAAATGTTTTCCATCTTGGGGGATCTTTAATTTCCACAGGGCCGACCATCTGTCAAATCCAGTAGTATTAGATATTTCACCAATAATATTCCTATACCCACTTTTCACGGAATATGATCCATTTGGTTCCCTGAACCAGTTACCAAGAATCCCCATAGGATGGACATACCGGAACCCGAAGTATACGATTAACATCACTAGCATCAAAAATATCATTTAGGATACCAATGTCCCATGTCTGAGTATCCTGATCAATCAAACCTGCCACTTTTGACTCATGTAATTCAGGAGGCATAATAGTCTGAATCCTAAAATTGTCATCCAACAGCCAAGGGTGTTCCCATATCAAAGTAGAAAGACCATCACCCACCCTTCTCTTTATGCCGATGCAGACTAGATCATGGGCTGCCATAATACTCCTCCAATAGAAACTGGGGTTATTCCCTACACATGCATTAAAAAAAAGATGTCTTTGGATAGTACCTCGCCTTAAATACCCGTGCCGCCAGAGATTCTGGCTTTATGAGAAATCGCCAGGCCTGCTTGCCCAACATTTCCAAATTGAAAGCCTTAAGATCTTTGAACCCAAGTCCTCCAGCGATTTTAGGCTTACAGAGACGGTCTCATGCCATCCAATGTATCCCCTGTTATTGACGCCACTTTTTCCCCAATAATACCTGTTAATAACTCTTTGAATAGCTAAACAAACAGAATCAGTTAGCAAAAAAACACTCATAGAAAAAGTGGGCATTGATTGGGCCACAGTTTTCAAGAGAATTTCTATGCCTGCTTGGGACAATAATTTTTTATTCCATGACCCAATTCTTTAAGTTATTTTCTCCTCAATGTAGGCAAACACCTGTTTTTTGTTCCTTCCAATAAAAGATGGGAATCTCAAATATTTGCCAAAATCATCAACCTATTTCACCCCCAAAACCGCCACCACGTCATCTCTGTCGCCATTCCCAGTGTTCTTACTGAAACAAACACTGGACTTGTGGAAATTAACAGATTGGCCAGACAACTGCTCGTATCTAGTTAGGCACTGCTTAACCACACCTGCCTCCTGCGAATTAGCTTTAAAGAACAAGAGACTATCATCTGCAAAAAATAGATGGAAAATCGCAGGGGCGCCCCTTGCTACCCTACAACCATGAACCAGTCCCTGTATTTGGGCATTTTGTAGCAATAGGGATAGTCCTTCAGCACAAATAATAAAAAGATACGGAGAAAGAGGATCTCCCTGTCTCAACCCCCGCGTTGGAGTCACTACTCCACCAACCGATCCGTTCACGAGTACATTATACGAAACAGTTGTTACACATAACATAATCAATTCAACCCATCTATCAGCAACACCTAACGTCAACAACATGCACCTCAAAAATGTCCATTCCATTTTATCATATGCCTTGGCCGTGTCCAATTTTAGAGCCCCCCACATGGCTTTACCACATTGCTTTCTTTTTAAAAAGTGACCAACCTCCGAAGCAACAAGAATATTGTCCGTAATTAGTTTATCAGGAATAAAAACACTTTGTGACTCAGAGATAATACTATCAAGAAGGGGCTTCATTCTGTTTGCAATTATTTTTGCCATAATTCGATAAACAACATAACACATCGCAATCAGCCTTAAATCAGTAGCAAACTGAGGCACCTTCTTCTTGAGAATTAACACAACATTAGACACATTTAAACCATCCGGGAAGTGACGAGAATTCAAACAATTTAGCACAAAGATAGTTAACTCACCCTCCACTACATCCCAAAAATGCTGATAAAACCCGGATTCATTCCATCCGTACTCGGGGCCTTATCCGAGAACATGGAAAAGAGCCCCTTTAACATCTTCAACAACAAATGGTTTAACTAGGGCCTCATTTTGACACTCAGACACACATGGCAACAACATTTGAAAGAAATCATCATCAACAAGGGGATTACAAGACTTGAAAATATTTCCAAAATAGTCAAGAATCACAACATTCATAGCACCCTTACTGACCCGCTCCCCATCCGATCCCTTCAATCTAGATAAAGAATTTTTTACGGAAAGATGCATACCTATGATAGAATTTGGTATTGGCATCCGCTCACCGTAGCCAGTGTTACTTCGCCCTCTGCCTCCAGTAAACATCCTCTTGGGCTTCTAACTGTGATAGTTGTGTCTGAATATCACGATATTCTCCAAGAGATACTGGGTCAGTGCGTCCACTTAATCCCATTAGCTTCGCTTTAAGGAGTTTAATCTGTTTGCTGAAAAGGTGGAATTGGTCACCACCCCATGCATGCAAGCGTTCACTACATAACTGCAAGCTACTCATCAAACCACCACCTTCCCCATCAGACCAAGCCTGCTACACCACCCCGCGACAACCGGTATCTAACAACCAAGCCATCTCAAACTGAAAGCCACCACGCCCTCCGCCCACACGACATCCCAAGTCAGCAAGACCGAGGAAGAGAACTGAATGGTCAGATGTACATGTTAAGATATTAACCACCTTGGCCTCATCTAACATACCACGCCACTCAATTGTGGCCACAGCCCTATCCAACCGCTCCTCTACCCAAGCTTCCGTACCACTCCCCTTTTCCCAGGCATAGGGGTATCCGCCCGTGGGCATCTATATAAATTATGAATCTACAATATAAAATTATGGATCTACAGTATAAAAATTATGAATCTACAATATAAAAATTATGGATATGAAATCGTGCTCACCTTGCAAGATGAGCACGTGCTCACAGCATAACGTTCCTGCTTAGGGTGCCTTTATTGTTTTTCTCTTATTGGGTGTTAATTTGCAAGAATGGTATGGGCCATAACCTAGGGTGAATGGTATGGGCCATACTCCTATTTTTTCATTATAATACTTAATACAACGTGTTAATGTTAGGAAAATAATTAGTTCAAATTATTTCCTCAAATTTCCACACTAGGGTGATAAAGGTCCGATTCTATGGTGTTTTTTTAAAACACAAGTTGAACACTTTAGTTTGGGTGTTCATTCCTTCCGAAGGTTCGCATCAGTTATTGATCTACATCATCCTCCCATTCTTGAATACCTCGATAACCTTGGTCCGCAGAACAAACACAAATAACTAAAAATGAAAGAGATAAGAAGATAACTTGAGAGGTGGCAATAAAGATGCAATTTTTACCTTGTTAGCCACATATTGAACCAAGATCAGGGTAGGTACCATTGTAAGGCTTGAAGTCATAGTTAACAATGTAGTTTTTCTCCAAGATGTCAAGCACTTTTTCAAATACACAAATGCAAAAACCAGAATACTTTTGTGGATATTCAGGCCGTCTACCTTTACAAATTTATCAAATATAGTTCTTCTAGTTCTAGGAACACCAATTATTAATGGTTTTGCATTAGTAGGCATTCCCCATCCCTTTTGAACTCGACCCAATTCGCCCTCAAATTATTCTGTGGATCTGGGTTCAAATGTTTACAATTTACATACTAAATGTTCACAATTTACTTTTAAAAAATTCACAATTTGTATACTACGAAGACACAATGTTAACATATATGTAATTGATTACCTTGTTTTGTATTTACAAATTCCTTTCAGGCACACAATATTAACATATTAGGATTTAATGACCCTGTATCGTATTCACAAATTCTCTTCTACAGTTATGTGTCTTGATTCAGAAACACAATTTATATTCTAGAAGTTCACTTTCAGCCATGGTTGAACAACACGACAAGACCCACGAGGAAGAGGAGACAAATAGGATGTGATTAATCCAACTCCTCACCGCCCTTAATGCCAAACAATGCCACTGACGTCGAACAAAGGGTTGATGTACGTGGAAGCATTGGTGAACGGTAAGCCAACACAAGCTTTAGTAGATATTGGTGCCACACACAATTTCGTGACCGAGGATGAGGCTAGAAGACTTGGTTTTCGTTGGACAAAGGGGGAAGGTTGGCTCAAGGCCGCCAATTCGAGAGCCCAACCTTTCATTGGCGTAGTGCGGGGTGTAGAGCTACGCTTATAGGCACTTGGGAGGGCCAAGTGAATTTTTCCGTGGCACCAATGGATGATTATAAAGTCGTGTTTGGGATGGAATTTCTTCGTCAAGCCACAGTCATCCCCATGCCATCCTTTAACACGATATGCATTTTGGAAAAAGGGTCCGTGTGCATGATCCCAACCTTTGAAGCTCGTGAGAGGCAAACAAAAGGGCCACAACATTTATCAACCATGCAAGTTGTGGAAGGTGCGACAAAAGGCAAAGCTAACGCTGTGACCAAAGCTTGGGTGGACAGGAAGAAGAGGCCACGAGAGTATAAGCCACACCATGAGGCCGTGGAAAATCAAAGTTGTGGGTTAGCACGAAGGGCACCACGTGTGGTAACTAAGTCTTTCAAGCATGACATAGACGAGGTGCTCACATCGAGGGTAGTTCGTAGAAGAGGAGTTCTGCCTCAAACACACTACCTCATTAAATGGAGGGGATTGCCCAAGTCCGAAGCATCATGGGAGCCGGAGGAAAACTTATGGCAATTCCAAGACGTTTGGAGGCATACAAGGCGACGATGGCGTCACCGAATTAGGTGGGGAGGATGTAACGCGCGGGGCACTTTGCTACACATTTCCGAGGTTTGCTACATCTTTCTAGACTTCTCTAGAACTTGTACATAGCATCCCATAGTTGGTAGAATAGTTTGGAAGCATATAGATAACACTAGAAGATGTAGGGATGCTTTAAAATATTCTAGAACCCTATAGAATACTCTTAGTTGTGTAGAGATTTAGGGAATGTTCTAGAACTAGATTATTAACCATTAAATCAAGTAAATCTCCACCATCCATTGAAGGGTGGAATGACTATAAATACCCCTAATGGGGCTCATTTGTAACAATAGAAGGAATGTAAGAGTTGAAGTAATCCAAGTTCCTTACAAAGCTTTTGAGTTCTTTCTTAAGCTTCTTTGTGGGATTCTTGCCTTACTTATTTTCTTAGTCATCCAATCGTTAAATTAGCATCACCTTTGAGGGTCAAGCGAGGCTGACTTAGCTATTGCAAGAGAAATAATAGTTAAGAATGCACGTGACGTCGTTAGTGGGAACGAGTCCGTGACACTATGCCTAGCTAGAAAACTTCAACTTGTATTTGACCTAGTTAGTCATATTTGAGTCATAACTCATTAGAACAACTATAAACAACTACAATAACAAAATGGAGAAATTATGAGTACATGATAAAGCTAAATGCAAAGGAGCAACCACCCTTAAACAGAATTTGTTGCACAGATTTGTTATCATGATCATAAACAAGACATCACCAATAGAATAAGTTATCTACACTAAGGAATTTGTAAGTAGAAACAAACTCAACTCATGGAGAACAACAAACTCTAGAGAGGAGGGACGACATACTTAGCTTGTTGCGAGAGTGTAAGAATGTAAGATAGGTAGATAATGTCTTTGAGAATAAAAACATAAAGGAAATGACTATAGAGAGGAGGGACGACATACTTAGCTTGTTGCAAGAGTATAATAATGTAATGATATATCTCACCTCATTTTCAAATACAAAGTGATTTAAAACTAGTCTATGCCCTTACTTCTCTAAAATTTTTCTCATTCCTATTGCGGTTGAAGTGGATGTTTGGTTATTTCAAATTTCTTAGCAAATGATTGTTTTTTTCACATAATTGTATATCCCTATATTACATCAATTTGAGCCAGGGGTAAACTCGACTTTCTCTTAAATTATTGTTCTTCGTGCCTCTTGTACACAATGGAGTGCCTGCTTTAGGAATTAGGAAGCTGAATACGATGCTATTCTAATTCCTTATGATCGGGGTACAATTCTTGTAAAATTTCAAACTTGTATGCTTGTCTTACAAAGTGTTTCTGTACATCAAGTAATACTCAGTTCGAGGCGTTCTGCGGATTTGAAGTGATCTTGTTCTTCCGCAGATTAGGACCGGATGAAAGCTCCTGTCGCGCAATTTTGAGAATTTATTCTGATTTCTGGATTCGGCGTCAGTTGGATCTTCATCGTCCTCCAGTATCGATTCAAACCCTAACGATTAAGGAGGTAGCACACAACATCCATTTTCAGATCATTCCTGAACCACAACTCAATCGGCATACATCATTCTGTTTCAAATATTGATTTTGTTGTAAATTATTGATATCTCTCTTTCTTTTAATTTCTGGATAGTACATATAAAATCATATTTCATTTATTCCGGTAGATTAGTGAGCATTTGGTGTCTACTATTTTCACACTTGTGTGGTTGGGCTTCTGGTTTATGGCTCTTTTAGTGGAAATTCTGCTTGACAAACCGCAACTTCTAATGCATTTCTTTTGAGTATTCTCTGTTCTGTTATTATAGCTGTTCTAATGAGTTATGACTCAAATATGATTAACTAGGTCTGGTTTCTATGGTAAGGAGTATTAATTTCTTTGTTTTTGTTGTCAAATTATTAATTTATAGGTTTGTAAAATATTTAACTCCCCTCTATGATTCGCATGTTTGTAGCTCTCTATCTCTATCTTTGAACTTACCAATGACTTACCGTTAAAGTTTGATCTGATAGGAGTGAATACTGTTTGTTATCAATGCATGAGGTACAAATTGAAGTATCTAGCCATCAAACTATCTTGCAGCTGCCTATCATATTGGTAACCGTATCGAGTTTGAGTTAAATTCAATTAATATTCTGTGGTGCTCCCATTTTCTTTCTACGTAGTATTTACTTAACTTCGTATAGAATCTAGTGACAGCAAAATGAGACCATAAATTGGAAAATAGGGAAGTAACGGAAGGTTTGCTCAGATAAGTTAAGATGAAATATATAATACTAGGAAAAAAGTGAAGCTTGAATATTTTTGGTTACAAAGATGGTTTTGCTTGCCATAAAAGTGGATGGTTACTTCTTTGAGAATTGACAGCATTTATCTTTCTTTGAATTGTTGTATATTATGGTTATACTTCCTAATTGGGAATTGGATAAGCCATAAGCAATGCTTGATATTCTACTTGCTAATAATTTCGAGTTTGTTTTAAATAGGGTAAACGTACTTTTGGTCCCTAAATAGTAGCAATTTGTAAATCCAGTCCCTCAGTTACATGGTGTTGCAAATGTCATCTTTAATTGTCCCCTAAAGTGGTTATTGGATAATTTGTGCATTGTGTGAACTTCAACTTAGTAGCATATCTGTATGCAGAATTGCAGATAGATGCTGATTATTTGTAATTTGTATGCTCTTTTTTACTGTTTGATTGATCTAATTCCGTGTCTTAGAGATTTCAAGTGGCTGATAACCACAAATTTGTTTTCTACAGATTCAATAGTTTTATTTTGTTTCGTGTAGATCAATTTGAAGGATCTCAGTACAGATAAGAGAGAGGGAGATTGTGTGTAAATATGGCATCCTCAGCAACAGCTGGTAATCCAATCAATAAGATCGAGAGAGCGCACCAGATGTATAGAGAGGGCAAGTATGAGGAAGCGCTGGGTTTTTACACAGAAGCGCTTTCTTTGGCCAAGACTAAGTCCCAAAAGATTGCTCTCCACAGCAATCGAGCTGCTTGTTTTCTTAAACTTCACCTTTTCAACAAGGTTCTTTATTGTTTCCTTTCATTTTCTTTTCCTTTTAATTAATTTCTGGATGCTGACACTGCATTGTTTTTTACTTCTATTTTATTTTTTATACAAATATAATATTCATCCTTGAGGCTTAGTATAATTAGCTTTGTAAATATGATACTTGATTTAATGCTACTAAAGAGAGACGGCCTGGATTCTTCCTTATTGTAACTCTAGTAAATGTTTCTTGGAACCTAATTTCTATTTGACAGATCAATCCATTTTACTGTAGGCAGCAGATGAATGTACATCAGTTCTTGAGCTTGATCACAAACACACTGGAGCTCTGATGTTGCGTGCTCAAACCCTAGTCACTCTCAAGGAGTATCACTCGGCACTTTTTGATGTCAACAGGCTTATTGAATTGAATCCATCATCGGAAGTATATCAGAACCTTCATGCTCGCTTGAAGACACAGCTGGTAGTATCTCGGCCTTATTGGATTATGTTTATTCGAGTTCTTTTCGTCTATAGCATCATGTGCACCCAATCTATATGAGATTAATCTTCTTCTTGTTTAAGGAAGTCACTAGCTCCAATACCTGAAGCTGAAGTAGAACTTGAAGAAGATGATGAGGAAGACGTTGCAGAGCTTGAAGATAGTGAGGAAGATGTTTCAGAGCTTAAAGATGACAAGGAAGAACGTACTAATAGCAGTGAATGTAACAAGGATGTTGAATTTCAAATAGCAAGTGAAAAGAAAGTGGAGTCCGGAAAGGCTACTCCCACAACTGAAGTTGCGACTCAAGTTGAGAACCTTGAGAAATCACTTCAACAACAATCTGCAGGATGGCAAGCTATCCCGCAACCAAAAGGACACTCACGCCTTGACTACTCTCGGTGGGACAGGGTTGAAGATGAGTCCAGCGAAGAAGAAGATGACGATGAAGAAGACGAACCTAAGCCTCAGTATAGGTTCCGAGTCAAAACAGTTGGCGTGCGTGCTGTTAAATGAGAAAACGAAAACGTTGTTAAAACCGATCCAAGCATGCAAGTGCTGGTTCATTTGTCCGTTAACCCGCTGCATCGAAGCCATGTGGCATGTCATGTCGCCCTCTTTTCTTCTACACTGTGTGAGCTCTCTGGTTGGATGGCTTTAGTCTTGTGGTCAGCAAGTAGGGCGCTAACTGTTGAGCATATAACCATTAATGTACAATCCAACTATCAGCTTAGGCTTTTGGTTGAGATGGAGCACATGCTTCAATTCTAACTTCCATGGAACCTGCTGAAACAGCTTGTGCAACTGTGCAGGCTCCATATTTGAAGTGATGGAAGCAGAAAATTGTCACTGGAAAGACCAATCCTTTGAGATATTGCCCAGATGGACACATAGGACAACTTACAGTCCTTTATGCTGCTTGCTGATTGTATTCTTGTTCTGCCTTTGTCTCTATAGTCCTAAGGGGAATTCTTCAGCATCTCTCTACTCCATTTTATATTTTTTGTAAATCAATAATATCATTCTGTCATCTATCCTCCATTGCTCTTCATTCACTATTTGGTTTATTTATTTGTAATCTATACATAAATCTCTTTTTTTCCTGAGAATTACAGTGAGCAAATACATGTATTAGATTCTATTTGTTGGCAACAATTGCTTGAAATTTGATGATTCATACTTGAAACTTTTTGTTTTTGCTTGTACAATAAATTATTATGGTTGGATTATGTATGATCCTTACTTTTACCACTCACAAATAGTCATTTCTTACCATATAAGATTTAAAAAAAATTTTAAAAATAAAAAAATAGAAAAGCTAGTGTCTAGCATTTTGTATTTTTGCCACATTAGAGAGTGGTTGTTTTGTGGGTGACAATTGTAAGAGCATGTAACCCACAGTATATTCTATTCTCTCCTAAAATAATAGAGAGATATTTTAAATGTGAGTTTAATTTAGGTTTTTTAGAACTACTGGAATTCTTTTCCTTTTCTTTGTTTGTTTTCAATGTTTTTCTAATTCATTTGTAATTATTTACAATGAAACAAACACCTACAATTTGTTATTATAATAAATTTTTCTTGATATTAAAACATAATTAACAATCACTAAAATTACAATACAACTAATAATAATAATTTATTAAAATTCTAAATACCCGCCGTAAGATTGCACTTGGTAAAAACCAATCCAAAGCAATCAATCGTTCAAAATATTCTGTAAATGTTTAAAGAAACAAGAGTTGCTCGATTAACAAACGGCCCATAGGCATAAGAATTTTTTTTTTTTGGAAAATCATAGGCATAAGAAGTTAAAAACCGAAAATATAAAAGAAAAAAAGAAGGTCCCACCGAGATTTGAACTCGGGTTACTGGATTCAGAGTCCAATGTCCTGACCACTAGACCATGGGACCTCACGACACTACAAGTCCAACCACTAGTAAAAGTCAGATATTAGTCTTCTTAGTTTAATACTACAAAAAATTTATGCTAAATTTACTTCTTTATGATTCTTTGTTAGATAGGATCACAATGCGGGATTTATCCAGTGCATGTAGCGGATTTCTCTCATTACATTTTAATATTTTTGTCCTAAAAGAATGCCCAAGTGAGTAAAACATAATTCTTGTACTTAAAAGTCACAAGTTTAATTCTTGTCAATACCATTTTATTGATCCATTAACATCCTTGAGTAGTAGGCTACTAGCGGCATGTTTCTCTCAGATTCTCGTTAAAACATTATATTATTATTATTATTATTATTATTATTATTATATTATTATTATTATTATTATTATTATTATTTATTATTATTATTATTATTATTATTATTATTATTATTATTATTATTATTATTATTATTATTATTATTATTATTATTATTATTATTATGTGGTTTAGTTGCATTTTGCATAAACAAATACAAAACTTCATATTCTTTCTCTAGCCTTGTGGCTTGATACTCTTGTGAAATTTTCACCCCTTTTATTTAAGAGTTGAGTATGGGACTTTAAAGTTCTAAGAGTATTCGTGAGTAGTTATGCTGTGCATCCGTATGCACCATGCATGGTGCATACGGATGCAAAAACGACGTCGTTTTATTAAAAACGCACGTCTCCCCTTAAAAAAAAAAATTCAGGTTCGATTCCCAACAAAAACATTATGTTATTCATTCATTCTGAAATTTTAGTTCATAGATTATGGAATTTTAGTTCATTGATTCTGGAATTATAGTTCATTGATTCTGGAATTGTAGTTTATTGATTCTGAAATTTTAGTTCATAGATTCTGAAATTTTAGTTCATTCATTATGGAATTTTTAGTTCATAAATTAGATTATGGAATTTTAGTTCATAGATTATGGAATTATAGTTCATCGATTCTGGAATTATAGTTCATCGATTCTGGAATTATAGTTCATATGTTGTTGTTAGAAATCGAACTTGATTTTTTTTTTTAAGGGGAGACACGCGTTTTTAATAAAACGACGTCGTTTTTGCATCCGTATGCACCATGCATGATGTATACGGATGCACACATAATTTGCCAGTATTAGTAATTAGTTGTTTATAAGTTCAAGATGTCAATTGTATGTTTTAGTTTTAAATACATCATCCTTATTTATATTTTTCTCATCACTCTTAATTATTTCATAATTCAACAAAATTTAATTAATAATTTATAATATAAGAAAATATTTGATGTGTTGTGAGTTATGATGTTCCTTCGCTTGACTAATTTTCGATGAAAGTTTTATTGCACAATCCAAGATAAATTAAAAGATGAGAAATAAAATTTAAACTGAAAGTTGAAATGAATGTGAATTTTTAAATGTCATAATTAATGCATTGTAAGAATTAATAGGAAAACTATGATCATATATTTAAATTATTTATAACATGATACCAATTATCTAATCAATAATAATCTGTATTTATAGAATCACGAGTGTCTAAAAAAAACCTTCATATTTATAAATCATACAAGGAAATCGGGTCCGGGTATTCAAGTAACCCATGAAGGGGAGCAACTTTTTTGGAAGATATCCGATGATATTTTAGGCGAGCGGATTATTGATTCAGTGAAGTGTCTTCTTCTTCCTTTCAAGTCTCAAGTTGGATTACCCAAATGGAAACCTACACCGGAGCATTTCTTTGTTGCGCATCATTGGCCGGAATTCCCATATCCCGCCATTTCCGGCCGGCGGTCCATGCTAAGCCTTTCTCCAATCGCTTGCTTCCTTCGTCTTCTAACGTTTTCGCTCTCCTTAGCTCTGCAAGGAATTTCATCCCTCCTATATGTCGCAACAAATCCTCTGCCCGCCCTTGCTCTACCGTGTTTTCCCGAATGGCGGCAGTTGGCTCTGTATGTTCCTTTCTACTTCACTAATTATATCTTCTTTAAGCTTTCTTAAGTTTTCTACTTCTTTAATTTCCTTGCTCAAATTAAGCTAATTCTTCTTAATGATAATCTGGAATTCCGTTCTGGTTTTTAGTTTTTCTAAGTTTAAATTCTGAATTCCTGGGAAACTAGTTCAGTTTATTATTGTTGTACTCTTGAAGCATAAAATGGATTGGCTTAATTTCTGCTGTTACTCTTTCATCTTCGAATTAATATTGACTTTATGGTCTAAATAATGAGATTCCTTGCCCACAAAAGGCAAATTTACCTCGTCCCTGCCTCCAGTGTAGTGGAATGGTAAATCAGGTGACTCGGTCCATTAGTAGGGAGGACGGGTGCCTGGTGCCTACAAGAGCCCACTAGATTGGGTGTAACTCCCATACTGCGGCTGTTGGGCTCGGTACTGTGTTATTGCCCACAATTTATTACCTAGGAATCAATTGAGCTGTCCTAAGTTTCCCAATTCCCACTGGCAAATGAGATTCCTAAGTTGCCCAATTCATAGCCAGACGAAGATTTTGTCAGTCACACGGCTGAAATTGGTTTTCAGAAATCTGTATGCGATGAGTATGAGTATGGCTTGTGCATTTTGATTAATATTAATACTAGCATTGATGCAGAATATGAGTGAAGATACAGATGATATGTTTGATGATTTGATTGAGAAATATGGGAAGGTGGTCTATAGAAGAAATGACAACAAATCAGCTAGTGAGGAGGTTGATGATGATGCTGAAAGCCTATCGTGTAAGCTTCTCCCAGTTTTGATTGCGCAATTTATTTTTTCTGCAATACTTTCCTCTCCTTTGGTTGACCTTTTTGCGTGCAAAGTTCGTCTTTTTCCCACCTTGCTAACAACACTATCCAGTGTTCATTCCTTTTTTCTTGTACTTTTGAGAGTTTCTGTAGAGCTCTATCTGGTGTTAATCCTCTGGCCTTCTGCCTATTTATTGATGTTTTATGTCATTACTACAGTTGCTGTAGCAGCGGCTAAAGTTGCAAATGAGGTGAAGGCTGCTGACATAAAAGTTCTTTTTGTGAAGCCCTTAGTTTATTGGACTCGATTTTTCATCATTGCCACTGCATTTTCCCGCCCACAAATTGATGCCGTTGGGTACAACTGTTACCTTTAACATCTAGTTTCGTCACTATAGTCATACTCCTAGAGATTAACGAGGAGTTTCTTGAGCAATTGATATTCTTTTGTAGGACCAGGATAAGAGATATGGCCGAGGAACAGTATGGAAGAGTTGCATCTGGAGATACAAAGCCGAATTCATGGACGTTGCTGGACTTTGGTTTGTAACTTAATCCAACTTTAATGAGGCAATGAGTTGTGTATCTAGTACTCAGCTCCATTGCCTGTAAGAATATAATACCCTCTGATATTTGTTTGATATTTCTATTAATTCCAGGTGATGTAGTGGTACATATATTTCTGCCTGAACAACGTGAGTTCTATAACCTGGAAGAGTTCTATGCGAATGCAACACCTGTTGATCTGCCTTTTGAAAATCAACAGTTTCGACAGCTAAAAGGTTTCTGAAACTTGACAATTTGAGCCTCTGATCTAGCGAAGGGACTAAAAGGCCGGGTTGGCAAATCAACAGGCAGGATATGGTTGAGAATTGGCAAGATATCGTTGGTTAACTCCATTATATATGCCATTACCTGCTAGTGTCAACAGGAGGGAGGGGTTCACAAATTTTGATGATATGTGTGCTCCCTTTACTGCTCTTGATTGAAAAGGAAAAAGATGTAATCAACATGGCATAAAAAATGACAGGTACTCTTGTAGCCTTCCTTGTATTTGCTCCTAATACTTCCTAGCAATATAAAATGAAAACATTGCATTACTCGATGAGATAGTATTTTCAGTTCTCGTTTAACTTAGAAACTAGTGGTATGTACTTCTCATTTCTGAGTGGAAGGGACATTATTAATGTTAACTGTTTATGGTAATTGAATTCATTTGATTGAACATGAAATTACAAGACCCAGGATGGTTAGCACAGGAGCCTTCTCATTTCAGGGTCGAAATCTTGTATTAGAGTAAAAGCTTTAAGTCATTCTTGGTAGTTAACTTAGAGAAAATGGTGCTTATCAGTCTTCATTCTTTATGCATGAAAGTTGAAAAATGATAAAGGAGGTATTTATCGTTTTTCATTTGAAATATTAGTGCAAATGAGCACAAAGCTCCATTTCTTCATTTTTAAAGATTTTTCTTTATTCATTAAAGAGAAAATTACACTTTTGGTCCTATGACTATAGGGGAGGTGGTAATTTCAGTTCGTGACTTTTAAAACTAACAGATTTAGTCCTTTTAGTATGCTTTTTTTTACACATTAAGTCCTTCCGGCCAAATCACCGGTGGATTTTGGCCGGATAAACACAATCCCTTAATTTATTAAATATTTGGGGGGTAAAATGGTCAATTCAGATTCTACTTTCTTCTTCCTTCTTCTTCCTTCTCCTTCCTACTTCTTCGTGTATAGTTTCAGTACAACCTGCACAGCACATTTCTCCTCTTCAAGTTCCAGTATCTTCTTTCCAAAATGGTGTTTAAGAGCTGTTGTGTCAAACCCTCCATAAAGCTTCATCTCAGACTTTAAAGTTCGCAAACAAAGATACATACATTATATCAGCATATGCAATAAATAGATTCAGTAAGCACTGATGATGAACACAAATGCAATTAGAAATTCAAATTTCAAAGATACCTCTTTTTGTTCCAACCGTCTATTCAACTCATTTAATTCTTTGCCCAGAGAATCTTGCAGAAGAGTGTGTTCCCACTCTTTTGCTGCTTCTTCATCCATGTCTCCAAGATCGCCTGCTAGAGTTTCTAAAAACAGATTAATGAATAGAATAGCTAACGGAATCTGGATTGAAAAATTTGAAATAACTTTCGATTTTATCATACCATTCTCAGTCATTGGATAATCAGATGACTCCATACTTTGCAAACCCCTTTTAAGCCCTTCACTTTTTACTGGAAAGGTACCACGAAGAAGTAGGAAGGAGAAGGAAGAAGAAGGAAGAAGAAAGTAGAATCTGAATTGATCATTTTACCCCCCAAATATTTAATAAATTAAGGGATTGTGTTTTTCCGGCCAAAATCCACCGGTGATTTGGCCGGAAGGACTTAATGTGTAAAAAAAAACATACTAAAAGGACTAAATCTGTTAGTTTTAAAAGTCACGAACTGAAATTACCACCTCCCCTATAGTCATAGGACCAAAAGTGTAATTTTCTCTTCATTAAAAAAACACTCTCATTACTAAATTCAGTGGATAACCGCTCTACTAAGAGCAACTCCAATGAAAGTTTTCTCATAATTTTTTCATGAGTTATTGGTGATGTGAAAGAAAGATGAGAGAGAAGAATTTGAGTGTTTTTTTTTTTTTTTTTGTTGGGGGGGAGGGGGTGCACTATGTGTGCCTTTTTTTGTCAAACATGGAGAGAAGGTTTAAAAAAAGAAGGTTACACGGTAGGGTGGTTGCCAATTTTTTGTTGGCAACTACCCTAGTTTTGTTTATTTATTATATCCTCTAAATTGGCTCACAAATATGAAAAAAAAAAAAAAAGAAAAACTTTAAAAAATTCAAGGTTGAAAAAATCACCAGGACTCCAGGAGCTTCTTCTTCTTTTTTTTTTTTTTTTTTTTTTTTTTTTTTTTTAATTTTAATTTAGAAAAAATTAGTTAAAATCCCGCCTAGACGGTCGTTTAGCCCACGACGACCTACTCAGTGCCTAGGGCGCCTAGAATGGCGATTCCGCCGAATTTCTAGGCAGTCGGCCGGCACGATTTTTACAACCTTGAAAAAATCTCCAAGTCATTGAGTTTGTTCTTAAATCTTAATGCATATTAATTCTTTTACTCAAAGGAGGTCTTCATGGCAAATGACTAGGGCATTTGCGCAGTTTATCGTGTTTCACACTCCATTTCAATTATTAACTTGGTAACCAGAGCAAATATTGTAGATTTTATTTTATTAGCAACCAAAATAATTGATTGAAACCCTAATAAATTAATTTTCAATTAATTTTGGTTTTCGGTTAGGGTTTAGTTTTTCAGTTTTGAAAAAATGAAATGCTTCGATTTTTAATTTTAGTTCGGTTCAGTTTTGGGTTGGATTTGGTTTGATTTGGATTTGTGTTTAGTATGAGAACTCGAACATTCCCTAGTTTTCTTGTGCACATAATTATTTGTTTATTTTTACTAATAATTTAAATTTTAAAATATAAACAACAAAGCAACAATGCATATTTTAAAATTTTCAATAAAAGAAAAAGTCCAAATTGAACTAACCTCTTCACTTGCTCGACATTCGACAGTGACGATTTTTAATTGATCAGACCCACCATAAAACTGGGTTGATATCGAGTACTAGGTACGAAAAGCGTATTGGATTGACAAGGCCCAGAGCCCTTAAAATAATACAAACGGGCTGCATATGTATTACATAAACAAAAGAAAATGAACTCGGCCCAAGGGGCTCAACTACCAAGCCCAGCCACAGGGGGTGAACTACCACTATTAACTAGCGGATTGTAAAGACAATTCACATGCAGCGTCGTTGACTAAGGGAGAAGCCAAGAGAGAGGAAGAGTTGATCATGATGCCTAGCACCCCCCCCCCCCCCCCCGCCATACACGTGTCCCACCATGTATCGCGCTCTCCCGCCAAATATCTCCATGCACGCCACTTCGTAGAACACGTTTTGGCCGTTGCAAACCCATTGATAACTACCTGAGTGGTCAACCCGAGTGGTCCGCCCTTTCGCCGAATGGCCCGCCAATCTCCTAGGTTATTTGTCATACCCGGCCAAACTAAGGTGAGACCTTCTGATTGGCGACAGACGGCCAAGGCACTTCGACAAGGGGCCAAAAGGTGCCAAGGCCACAGATTTGGGAGTAGTCCGTCGGCCACCCTCTTATAGTCCACTTCGGTCCTCTCGGCCCACACGGGGTCCGCCACTCGCCGGTGTATCGAGATATGACGTCGAGGGTCGCTAGTCTATGCTCTCTCGACCCAAGCTAAGATAGTAGAAGAGTTGATCATGATGCCTTGGAACAGAGCTCCCCCCCGTAATACACGTGCCCCACCATGTATCGCGCTCTCTCGCCAAATATCTCCATGCACGCCACTTCGTAGAACACGTTCTAGTCGTTGCAAAGCTATCGATAACTACCTGAGCGGTCAGCCGGAGTGGTCCGCCCTTTCGCCGAATGGCCCGCCAATCTCCTAGGTGATCTGATGAGATTATGATTCAGCAATTCAAATTACATCAGAAGAGGATTACAATACAAAGAGATAGAACTCCCGTAAACAACTCCTAACTAATAGACTAGTAACAAAAGACTAAGCCACAACCACTATAATAATAAAGGAAATAATAATAGCAATAATAATAATACTAACACACCCCCTCAAGCTTAAGGTGGGTGCGAAAAAACATTAAGCTTGTCACGAAGAGCAGCAAACCGCGGGCCTGGCAACGGTTTAGTGAGGATGTCGGCAACCTGATCCTTGGTTGACACAAAGTTAACCCGGAACTCACCAGCGGCAACCTTGTCACGAACGAAGTGAAAATCAATTTCAATGTGCTTAGTCCTGGCGTGAAACACCGGATTGGCACAGAGATAGGTAGCCCCCAAGTTATCACACCATAGAGTCGCTGGTTCACCAGAATGTAAGCCTAGTTCACGCAGAAGAAAAACAACCCAAGTAACCTCAGCTGAGACATCGGCTAGGGCCTTATGCTCTGCTTCAGTAGAAGAGCGAGCCACCGTTCGTTGCTTCCTGGAGAGCCAAGAAATGAGGTTGGAACCCAAAAAGATGGCGTACCCACTGGTGCTCTTCCTGTCGACTTGGCAACCGGCCCAGTCTGAGTCTGAAAAGGCATGAACCGTAGTAGAGTCGGAGGCAGTCAGACGGAGCCCAAAGTCCAACGTGCCCTTGATATACCGTAACACACGCTTCAATAAAACCCAGTGATCAACCGTCGGAGAGTGCATAAACTGGCAGAGCCGATTAACGGAATAGGAAAGATCCGGACGTGTGATGGTGAGATACTGCAGTGCCCCAACTAGGCGTCTGTACTGCGTGGGGTTGTCATATGGTTGGTCGGAGGCCGCAACTGGTTGACTGACGGCAACAGGAGTAGCTAGAGACTTACAATCAGACATTCCAGCCCTATTCAACAGATCCCTCATGTACCGGCGTTGCGAGAGTAGGATCCCGTTATCATCTTTGAGCGTCTCAATGCCAAGGAAGAAGCTGGGGGTACCTAGATCACGAATTTTGAAAGTAGCTGATAGTCGATGAAGCAGGGTGTCGATTAGTGCTGCGTCATTGCCCATCATAATGATGTCATCCACATACACGAGTAAAAAGACCCGTGCCTGTCCAGCTGAGTAGTGAAAAAGTGAGACATCGATTTTGGAAGACGCAAAACCTGCACTAAGTAGATAGTCATGCAACCTTTTGAACCAGGCTCGTGGAGCTTGTTTGAGCCCATAGAGCGAACGCTGGAGATGACATACATGCCCGGGATGAGTGGGGTCCTCGTACCCTGGTGGTTGTTTCATGTAAACAGTTTCAGACAAATGCCCATTGAGAAAGGCACTGTGAACGTCCAACTGTCGTAACACCCAGCCCCGGGAAACAACAATAGACAACAGCAGACGTACAGTGGTGGGTTTGACCACTGGACTGAACGTGTCAAAAAAATCTTCACCAGCTACCTGGTTAAACCCTTTGGCAACCAGCCTGGCCTTATAGCGCTCAACCTTGCCATCTGCAGTGCGCTTGGTGCGGAAGACCCATTTGCACCCAATAACATTCATGTGCGGTTCAACTGGGACTAACCGCCACGTGCTATTGTGGAGGAGTGCATTAAACTCCTGATCCATGGCCTCTCGCCACTCTGGATGACCCACAGCCTGTGAGTAGCAGGTCGGGTCTGTGGTAACACTGAGAGCCTGGAATGGTTCGTCTGTGCCATGAGTCATGTGTCGGAGGCGCATGACATGACCTCTTTCTTGAGGCTGTTGGCGCACACGCGCTCTGCGTCTTGTGGGTCCCTTAATAGCCAGCGGAGCATGTTCCTGAGCCAATGGCACAGGGCTCGGAGAAGGAGCCGGGGCCATGGGAGCCGGAACTGGAACATGTTCCAAAGGTGGTAGGTGTGAATACGGCACAATAGGTCCAGAAGCCCAAGGTGCCGGTGTTATATCATCTTGTGTCTTATCCTGTAAAGATAAGTCTGCAAAAGGGAAAATAGTCTCGTCAAATCGGACATGACGGCAGATAAAAACTTTTCCACTAGTTGGGTCCATGCACCTATATCCCCTAAAGGACGGTGGGTAACCTAAGAAGACACATGGGGCCGATCGAAACTCCATCTTGTGCCGATTGTATGGCCGAAGATGGGGGTAACATCGACACCCAAAGACACGCAGGAAAGTGTATGGGGGAGTAGTTTTGTATAGGCGTGAGTACGGACTTTCAAATTGTAGTGTGGGTGTGGGTAGATAATTTATGAGACAGGTGGCAGTTTCAAAGGCGTAGTCCCAGTATTGCATAGGAACCGAGCCTTCTGCAAGTAGGGCTAGTCCAGTTTCAACGATGTGCCGATTTCGGCGTTCAACTCTGCCATTTTGTTCATGTGTATAGGCACATGACTGCCTGTGGTTAATACCCAGTGTTTGAAATATTTTATGTAATTTTTGAAACTCAGCACCTAAATCAGATTGTACCGACTTGATAGAACGCGAAAATTGGCGTTCTACCATGACACGAAAAGACTCCCAAATTTTATAGATATCTGATTTTAGCCTTAATGGATAAAACCAGGTGAACCGTGAATAGTCATCAACAAACAATATAAAGTAACGAAAACCAGAAGCCGAAATAACGGGGGCCGGGCCCCAAATATTGGTGTACAGCAAATCTAACACATTATGACTAGATGAATCTACCTATCTAATGCAAAACGTGAAGATTTTCCGAGATGGCATGCCGTACACGAGCCCGACGCCTGTGACTTATTACTTGTGACCGGAACATTTTTGAGGACACGATTTTGGACATGATGATGCGGGTGACCCAACCTGCGATGCCACACTCCTGGACTAGCCCGAGAACTAAGAAAGGCAAAATGCGAGTGAGACACCGGGAGCTTGTAAAGACCACCCGAGGCGGGCCCTTTAAGCAATGTCTCCTTGGTGAGGGAATCCTTCACAAAAAAACAACTTTTGTGAAATTAAAAAAAAAACGTCGTTTTCGTTAGTAAAACGATGTACATATAACAACGGAACAGAGAGTTTAGGGACAATTAAAATATTAGACAGAGACAGTGTTTTTGACTGGGATGGAATTGATGCATGTCCAACATGTGAAATCGCCAAACCTGAGCCATTACCAACTCTTAAGACATCAGAACCCGAATACTCATCGGCTTGGTGAACCATAGACGCGTCTGGTGTTGCATGCGCCGATGCTCCCGTATCTGGGAACCAAGATTGCGCAGAAGCTGCTGAGGAAGCGGTTTCATCACCTGCCAACGCAACATTCACCGGTGGCTGTGTTGTGTACCTCTTGAAGCAGTACACCGCCGTATGGCCTTGTGAGCGACAAATCTGGCAACGGGGTACACCGCCGCGACCAGAGCCACCCCGGCCAGAACCTCCGCCATTTCGCCCGCGACCATGGCGTCCCCGTCCAGAGCCACCACGGCCGCCATTCTGCTGGTTTCTATTCTGCCCACGCCCCGCATACATAGCAGTGGGCGCAATGTTGTCACCGGGCGCCGGAAAATCATCCGCAAGAATGAATTCTTGCGCTTGGAGATAATCAGAGAGTTGCGGCAGGGAAACGGGTGTGCCGGTGACGGTGAGCGAAGCAGCGAGGGCTCGGAATTCTGGACGTAGCCCCCTGAACACATACATGTTCTGCTCGTCCAAGGAGAGAGGCCGGCCGGCGAGCGCAAGTGCTTCGACAAGAAGCTGAGCACGGCCGAGGAATTCCGCCGGCGTGCTGTTCCCTTGGCGAATGTTCTGAAACTGTCCTAGGAGGTTCAAACAGCGCGCTCGGGTAGACGAACCAAGAGCCGCCGTGATCGACTGCCACACCTCGCTGGACGTCGTTCTCCCCACTGCAAAGTACATCACTTCGTCCGACAGAGAAGAGATGAGCAGTGAGAGAATACTTTGATCTTGCTGCACCCATGCAACATGAGCGGGATTGGCAGCGGACACCGTCGTTGTCGCGGAAGCAGACTCACCGGAGATCACGGTTTTGACGGTGGCGGACGGACATGGGGTGGCACCATCGACATAACCCAATAGTCCTTGTCCACGGAGAAATGGGACTAATTGAGTGCGCCAAACAGGAAATTGCGTGAGGTTAATTTTATGGAGATGAAATGGTGGGCTGAGGAAAGGGAATTTTGGGTGGGAGATGCGGTGGTGACAGGAGCGGCAGTGACCGTCCGTTCAGAAGAATTCGTCGACATTGTTGTCGGGAAGGTTTGGCGAGGAAGGAGGTAGGATCGGATGGCTAGCTGATACCAGATGAGATTATGATTCAGCAATTCAAATTACATCAGAAGAGGATTACAATACAAAGAGATAGAACTCCCGTAAACAACTCCTAACTAATAGACTAGTAACATAAGACTAAGCCACAACCACTAGAATAATAAAGGAAATAATAATAGCAATAATAATAATACTAACAGATCTATCATACTCGGACAAACAAAGGTGAGACCTTCTGATTGGTGACAGACGGCCAAGGCGCTCCGACAAGGGGCCAAAAGGCGCCAAGGCCACAGATTTCGGAGCAGTCCGTCGACCACCCTCTTGTAGTTCACTTCGGTCCGCTCGGCCCACACGGGGTCCGCGACTCGCCGGTGTATCGAGATATGACGTCGAGGGTCGCTAGCCTATGCTCCCTCGGCCCAAGCCAATTGCTCCTCCCTGCCGCTTGTTTTCTCGAATTGTGTTCCATTTTGTCCTGCCAAACACGCCTTTAGCCCTCTTTCCATTTTTTTTTAAAGCCTCTACTTTCCTAATTGGATTTCCATTGGTCAAGCCCACCTCTCACTTTAATCATTCTTTGAGCCCATCCAATAGCAAGATTGCAGACTCAACAACTCACTGAGAAAATGTGGGAACACAATATATTTGTGAAGATTAAGATTTAGAAAATTGAAAATTTAGTATATATATTTGTGTAAATTAGTAAATAACATACATATATATATATATAGTGAAATGTTTCAGTGCGTGAGTTTTGTACTCAATGTGCGTGAGTCTTGTGCTTAATGTGCCTGAGATTTGTACTTAATGTGCGTGAATGTGTAATGTTAATGTGTGTGAGTCTTGTACGTAAGGTGTGTGAGTGTTGTGCCTAAGGTGCGTGAGTTTTGTGTTTAATGTGCGTGAATGTGTACTTAATGTGAGTTGTTGTTGAAACTTTAAAGTGCATGGGTTTTGTGTTTAATGTGCGTGAGTTTTGTGCTTAAGATGCGTGAGTCTTGTGCTTAAAGTGCGTGAGTTTTGTACTTAATGTGCGTGAGTGTGTACTTAATGTGAGTTGTTAAAAACTTAAGCCAGACTGAGATGCCTATTAATATCCCTATAGATGAAGAACACACTCACTCACATTAAGCATACAACTCACGCACTTTAGGCACCAGACTCATGCACCTTAAGGCACCAGACGTTTTCAAAAAATAAAATAAAATAAAATTTTCAGTTCAATTTTTATTTTTAACCGAACTGAATTGAAACTATTCAATTTATAAAATATAGGTAGGGTCCTCCGATTATAGTGACACCGCCATATTTAATTTTAAACTTTTAATTTAACCACTAGTGGTCATTCAACTTTTAAGTTAACCAGTCATTGTCCTTTAACGTTCAAATTTTAACCAGTCATGGTCCTAAACTTTTCCTTACTTAAACTAATAGAAGAACCTCGACTGGTTAAAATTTGAACGTTAAAAGACAATGAGTGGTTAACTTGAAAGTTGAAATACCACGGTTAGTTAATTACAAGTTTAGAATTAAACGTGGTCATTATTATTGTTATTGTTATTGTTATTGTTATTGTTATTGTTATTGTTATTGTTATTATTATTATTATTATTATTATTATTATTATTATTGCAATTTTTACAAATATGTAAGCCGAATCTCAAATTCAAAAGCCTAATTAAAATTTTTAACTTGCGAACCCTTTTCATTATATCCCCCTTTCCCAGCATAGCGGATCAATGACTAGAATGTGTAGAATGGGGTGAGAAATTGTCAAAATGTGTGCTGACTTTTTTTTGACAAAAATATGCAAAACTCAGTTACCAATTACGTTTTTCGTATTGTATACGAAAGACGCATCTCCCAGATGCGTTGTCATCTTACGTATTGAATACGTTAAAACGCATTTGGGAGATGCGTACTTCGCCGGAATTTTACAAAAACGCAAGAATGAATTGCGTTTTTTGAATAAAACGGATTGACCAAATCAATCATGCTTTTGTCGCCGGTGCGTTTTATATATTTATAGGGTTTTATGCCATAGTATCCGGCGGTTCCGGCGAAGAGATGAGTAACCAAAAAAAGAAAACTAAAGCTGTCATATGATACCCAGTTCGAAAAAGGTCAAGAATTTGCAATGCAAATTCAAATTTGCCAACCCACAAATAGACTGAAAAAACAAAAATGGCAGAAACCCAACACCCAAATGTTAAAAAAATGAGAATCTCGTCGAAATAACCGCTGCAACTATCCATGCTTTTGTCGCCGATGCGTTTTATATATTTATAGGGTTTTATGCCATAGTATCCGGCGGTTCCGGCGCCGGTGCGTTTTATATATTGCGGTTCTCGCCGTCCTTCAACTTCGCCGGAGACGGCCGGTACAAAAAAAGGTCAAAAACGCAACTTACTTTTGCGTTTTATGTATAATACGTAAAACGCAAAAGTAAGTTGCGTTTTGGGATACCGTATCCGTTGAAAAACCCAAGAGCGTAATGCGTCTTACGTATACGAATACGTAAACGCAACTACCTCTTGCGTTTTACAGAAATACATGGAAAAAAAATATACACCAAAAACGTAACTCCCAAAGGAGTTTTGCATATTTTTGTCAAAAAAAAAAAAAAAGGCAACGTAGTTTTTCTCAACTTTGACTACACATTTTAGTCATTTATCCAAGCATAGCTAACGCCATGGCCATAGTCGAGAAAATTCAAGGAGCGGTTATAATCGGAGGATTTTAAACCCAGTAGTAGCGTTCGATAGTATTGTGTCATATCTACTCAACCCCCGACCGCCGTTGCCCAATTTGCTCGGAAGCGTACGACGGACCACCGTCCTCATCTCCAAAATCAGGTATGATATATCTTTGATAGTTTTCATATAATTCACTAAAATCATCTTTATTATTTAGGGCTTTGCATTGCCAAAAATTGAGTTAATTTTTATTATTTTTTTATTTGCTGGGTTTTGTAATGAACTGGAACTGGAAATTGATTTTTTTTTTTCTTTTTGTTTGCGTTTTCCGATCATCGCAATGTCGCTGCGAAGTCAGGCATATATAACCTCTTATCTCTGTTTTATCTTTTTGTTCTGTTTTTGCATTTGTTTCTATTTATCGTTCTGTGCTTTGGAGTTTGATATACTGAGGAGTGTTGCAAAAGGAAAATTAATTGAAATGTTTCAAACTTGAGATTATAATGGTTTTAGTTAATTTTCATTTTGCAAAATGGGATGATTGAATTATAGCTGTTTTTATATGATGAATAGTGTGGCTTAAACAGCCAAAACTCGTGTTTATGCGATTGATTTGGTTATTCTTATAAAGCTTTCTGAGCTTTCTTTGTTTTTTATTTTTTCTCGTTTTTAGCTAGTTGTTTACTGCCTGTTGCATTGCATGATGGTTGTGTAAAGCTTTCTGAACTGTTGTGGACATTTTACATATATCTTCTTTAGATTCTAAATTAACTTGAACTCTCTATTTATTTATTTAATACAATCAGACTTGCTAGATTTAATCTGTGAACTGTCTAATTGTAAGAAAGAGTATTAAGACTTATTATGGTACTGTTATAAACTGCAATTTGAAGTGGACTGGTTGGCAGGCAAGTTTAATTTTTGCTTATGTTATGGTAGTGCTGGTACTGTGCTTCTCTTTTGCTTATGTTACTATGTTTTATTATTGTCTAGGAAGATCCAGTGTTGTTAGTTCCTGAGGAAAAAAATTATTTTAGATGACACCCAATCAAATTGTACATGAAAGTCAAGGAGGACAAAGTGAGAACAAAGATGAAAGCCAACGAGCCGGAGATATAGGCAGGGTTAGTTGGTCAAAAGAATTACTTCATATCCTTTGTGATCTTTGTATTCAATATGTTGAAAAGAGTAAGGGGAAAAATGGTGGAGTAATTTCTCAAAGGTTATTGTGGAAGAAGATTGAATTAGCATTCCAAAAAAAGACCAACCTTCAATGGGATAAAACGAAACTAAAAAACAAGGTGGATTGGATGAGATCTAGATGGAGGTTATGGAAACAACTAAAAGGAAAAGAGACCGAATTAGGATGGGATCATGCAAAAGGAACTATTGGTGCTACTGATGAGTGGTGGGATTTAAAAATTAAGGTTAGTTTTCTCTTTTGTTATCTTACTTTCTTTAATTCTACATAGTTAGATAATTTCTAAGTGTAAGTGTTTTTGTTTTATAGGAAAATTCAAAATTTGAGGCATTTCGAGAAAAAGGGCTTGAACTTGAACTAGAATATAAGATGGATCAAATTTTTGGTTTGTATGCCCAAGGAGCACTTAAGTTTACTCCAATAGCTGATCGCACACAAGGACATTTGCAACAGGAAGATGATGAATTACATGTTGATGATACTCCCCATGCTCATCTTGATGACATGGATGAGACTTATGGTGGTAACAATTGCTATAACAGTAATGCATCAAATGGTTTTTGGAGAGACCCTAGCCTTACCCCTACATCTACTCCTATCCCTAAGCATCAAGATACACAATTTGAGGGAGACGAACAAAGAAGAGGTAAGAGGGTTTTGGAGAATGAATCATCACAAAGTGGTACAAGTGTGAGGGTTGAAGACAATAAAAAAGGAAGGACTACAACATTGTTTGAGAAGCTTGATAATCTGTTGCAACTGATTGGAGATAGAAGTAATACAACAAAGGAAATGAATATGTCAATTATTAATGTTTTGAATTCAATGACTACACCAAAGCATGAAGTTACAGATGCCTTGACAAAATTGTGTGCTTTACCTGGTTTGGAGTCCGGTACCCCTGAATTTTACTTTACTTGCACACTAATTGAAGATCCACAGAAAAGATCTATTCTCTTTGCATTACCAAATGACAAGATAAGAGTTGGGTACATTAAGTTTTTGTACGAGGGGCGAAAGGACCATTAAAGATGCATTATTTCATATGTAGTTTTATGAATAGCTTAGTATTTGGCTACTTATTAACATATGACTACTTTGTTTTGGTTTAGGACACTTGTGAACTTTTTATGGAATTGTGTCTTTATAGTTTATATTTTGAAGATATGTTATTTAATTATGATGTTATATATATATATATATATATATATATATATATATATAATATATATATATATATATATATATATATATATATATATATATATATATATATATATTTGTTGTGTGTAGGCATGGACAATATTGATATGCAAATTATGAAACTTCTCATAATTAAGGAGTATTTGGAAAATGAGGATAAATTTTGGGATTTGGTAGCTTGTACGACCGATTATATGTGTGTATTTTTTGAGTCATATCTATATGGAGTCATGCATGACATCTTATTTAATAGGAGAAAGATAGATGCATGAATTACTACATGGTAATGAAAAACACTGTTTTAATGCATTTAGATTGAATCCAAATACATTTAGCCAATTATGTGTAGATTTAGAGGAAGATCAAATGCGATATAGAGGAAGGAAATGGATATCAACTGCAAATGTTTTAGCAGCACGTAGAGATGAGAGGGATTATCACATGATGCTTGCATTTTGCTTGACACAATTTAGTAATCCAAGTCTCAAATTTCCAAACTCACCCCTAGATAGTATAAAATATTTTGTACATTTTATTTCTCATATGGTTAAATATAATTCTTTTTTTGAATGCTGGTTAAATATAATTCAAATATATAACTTTTGCATACATTTAGGCAAATGTTATTTGGTAGATAAAAGTTTTCCACAAAGAGAAAGATATTTGATGCTTTAATCTAAAGACAAGACACTAGCTGTCAGTTTTGTGGTGCAAATTCAAGGGGATCTTGAGAATTATTTAATCAAGCTCATTCATAAGGAATTGTATTGAGAGAGCTTTTGATATTCTTAAGGCTCAATGGAAGATATTGCAAAAAACATGTCAATATATTTATCAATGGATCAAAATAGAATAATTTGTTCATGTTTTGGATTGCACAACTACATTAGAAAAACCACAATTGGTGGCCTAAGTTTTAGAATCATTGATCAAGATCCAAAGTTTATACCTTTTGATATATTTTTAAGATGCTAAAGCTAATTATACATCAAGGGTGTGTTTGAAAATCTGGAAAATAATTTTTGGAAATCATTTTTTGGATTTTCAGTGTTTGGATGTGCTTGAAAAATAAGTCAACGGAAATTATTTTCCGTTGACTAGGAAAAATATGGCTATTTTGGAAGAAAATGACTTACAGTCAACGAAAATCATTTTCTGTTGACTAGGAAAAATATAGCTATTTTGGAAGAAAATGACTTTCACCAAAATTTGGCGGAAGCCATTTTCCACAGACCAAAATTTGGCGAAAATATCGTTTCCAACCTTGATTTCCGGCGGAAACCAAACCTTTAATTTCCGCCGCAGAAAAACCAAAGCAGTCCTTTGGTTTTCTATAGAAACTAGAGTTTTTAAAATTAATTTTTAATAAATAACATTGTTTTTAATATTATTATAAATATTTTTATATTATAAATAAAACAATTAAAATATTTTTTTGAAAGGAAACAACAAAGTATATTAAATGTCGAAAGAGAGTACAAAAAGAAGGGATGAAGGAGGAACAAATCTCCATTCCCTACGATCAGCAGCGAGTAGAGCCTCCCTAGCAAGGTGATGAGCTGCTCTATTCGCAGATCGTTTAGCAAACATAAAGCTAATGACTAATGTCAAATAGATCACTAGCTAGGTACCTAATGTCCTGAAGGATAAGATCAAAAGAGGTAATACAAGAGAAGTCCTTAAGACCATTGATTACAAGTTGAGCATCAGATTCAATAATGATGGAGTGGATATTCAAAGACTTGAGCCATTTGAGAGCTTCTCTAATTGTGATTGCCTCCGCTGTTTTGGGGTGGTACGAACTATCACATCGTTGATGAGGGCAGCAACAAACTTCCCCTCCTCGTCTCTTAAGATACAACTAAAGCCAGTCCTTTTGTTACCAAGATCAATTGCAGCATCTACATTAAGCTTAAACTTGCCATGCGGGGGTTTGATCCATCTTTGAGTAGCAGTATTGGCTGCCGGTTTGTCATGATTGCAATGGATGTTTTTCCAAGCATGAAGAAAGACCGTTGCTTCTTCCATAATTGATGATGGTTGAGATCTCTAGTTGTGCCACACTAACTTGTTCCTTGCTTCCCATAATTTCCAGCACACTGTTACAACTAGGGACAAATAGTCAGAGTTGAGATTTTGGATGCAATTAGTAAGCCACTCAATAAAGCAAGGAGCAGTTCTGGGGTGGGATTGTGGAAATAATATTCCAACAAGAATCGACAAAAGGACAGGCAGTGAGGAGATGATCCACAGTTTCAGGGTGAGAGTTACAAAACTTGCAGTCAACTTAGCACTCGACTCTCCTACTTCGAAGATTAACAGCAGAAGGAAGGCAGTTGGAGCAGGTTTGCCAAACAAAATTTTTGATCTTAGGAGGAATAGAAAGGTTCCATATTGTTGTCCACTTCAGAGTTTCACCCTAGACTGAAAATATGTTAGAGATTTGTAGCAGCTCTTGACGGCGTATGAACATTTTTCCTCAGCACCCCGGATAATTCTATCATTACATTTAATTAAAATATTTAATTATACAATTCTACTTATATTTCAAGAAAATGAACCAAACACATCAAGACAGTTTTTCAGAATGCAACGAAACACTAAAAATGAAACTAATATTTATAAAAGGATTCATTTTTCAAAAGTCATGTTTTTAGTTTCCAAACACACCCCGAAAACGAATATGATATAAGAATTTGAGAGATGAGAAGTTTGGTAGCAGTTAGGCACTTAGGCATCGTTTTTAGAATATTATGAATTACTTTTTTAAAAAAGATACTTATATTAAATGTTTAATTATTATTAACTCCTATATGTTTATTTTATTTTTATATGAATTAGTATTAACTTGTTTAATTGTTATAAAACATTATTACTAATAATAATAATTACAACAACAACCATAACAAGAACAATTTATAAATTTATTTTATTTTAAAATTTATATTTAGAACTTAATAACACAATACAATCCTACCCTAAAATGTCATTTTATCTAGAATTAACTAATACTCCGTAATAAACAACTACGGAGTAATAGCTAATTAATATAATCAACGCCAAAAGAACTAACACAATTAGCTATTAACTAATTATCAAAGACTTCCAAAGTAGCATTTCAAATTTTAACTGATCGATGATTATTTACTTTTTTTTTTTTTTTGAAAAGAGGATTATTTACTTAATTAATTGGCTTAATGTTAACTAAAGTAACCAGTTGAGCTGTAGAGCTGGATTGTAACTGTGTTTTCTTCTCCAAATCGAAGTAGCATGGGCAGGAAGAAGTGAGGTCGAGATAGGGAAAGTGGAATTCAATGGCGGCGGCGACTTCCTTGCGACTTTACCCACCAAATTCCAATCCACTCATCTTCTTCTCTCGCAAAATGGTGCAATTTCGGGGCAATTCCTTTTTCTCTACGCTGCGCAGTTCTAGTTCTAGGTTTCCTACTTCCGTGCATCCAAATCCAATTCGAAAGCCAAAACCAAAATCAAATGGAGCAGTTTCTGTTCATCCAAATCCAAAGCCAAAACCGAGTGGAATAGTTTCTGTACGTCCAATTCCGAATGGAAACCTGGAGCCATCTGGACTAGTATCCATTGCATCTTCTATACCTCCTCCTCCTCCTCTTCCAGGTTCGTCTATCCTCTCTCTGTGTTTGTATGCATTTCCAACACCATTACATGTTTCCGAAGAACTCTATCATTTCTATCTAACTTCCATTTTCAGGCGTAGAGGGTGTGATGATGGAATATATATGCGGTCAAAGGAGAGCCACTCTCGTTGCTCATTCGTAGGTATTTCTTTCTTTTTCTAGTTTTTTGTTTTTCTTCATTTCTTACTATCTTCTGTATGTTTTTTGCTCTATTGCCTGAATCTGTAAGCACTAATGGTGTTGTTTCAGTGCCATATTCGTGTATATTGCTAACTAACCCGCTAACTGTTGCATTATAATTTCCCTAAAATAAGCACATAATTGATACTGTATCTGCTGCTTCTCTAATTGCTTATCTGCTTCCTTTTTTTTGGTAGTGTGTGGAAGCATATTGTTCGGGAAGGGGACACGGTTATTGATGCCACCTGTGGAAATGGTCATGATACCTTGGCATTATTAAAAATGATTGCTGATGATACACGTAAGGGTCGGGTGTATGCTATGGATGTTCAGAAAGTTGCTTTAGAGAATACGTCACTCTTGCTGGATCACTCTGTTAACCCTGATGAAGTATTGCAGACTTTGTTCTCTAGTCTTTATTCTGTATGATATAACCATTGTCTTAGGTATATCTAGGTTGTTATAGTCTTCCCAAATGAGTTTACAGTAGCAAGAGAGCTTCCTGGTCTTTTCTTGATTTCAAGTTTGAGCATTAACTTGCATCCATTTAATTTAAAAATAGTACTGCATTTCACGTGTTAGTTCATGTTCTTGATTTACTAGTGCACATTAGGTTTCCTTGTTCTGTGTTTAATGTGGCTTTTTCAATTTATATGCAGCAAAATAATTTCTTGTGACTTCCCATTTGCATTCTTGTGATCTAACCATGTTCCCTACAAGGAATTATTTACCTAATGCCATTTTGATTAACCATGACAGCATGACAAATTATTTCTTCTTATTTTATTTCTATGAAAGCAAACTTAAACAAGCATTTGCCTCCCCAAATGCATGAGTAATGTTCTGATACTCTCACCGTGCAGAAAGAACTTGTTGAGCTATTTTCTATGTGTCATACACAAATGGGGGATGTCGTTCCAGATGGTGTAAAAGTAAGGTACGGAGTATTTTTTTTGTTAACACTAATGATTGTATTATTGGATGTGAAATAGAATCGAGGGACGGCTTTCAAATTTGGTTTCTTGCTCCCTATCCATCTCTCAAAATTTTTGCTTTTATTTATTTATTTATTTATTTATTTTTCAGGTTAGTCGCATTCAACTTGGGCTACCTACCAGGAGGAGACAAAAAGATGATCACAAGGTCAGATACAACACTACTTGCAATAGAGGCTGCCCAGAAAATTCTAATGCCTGGGGGACTCATCAGTATAGTTGCTTATGTTGGCCATTTAGGAGGAAGGTAATAACTTTTCCAGAGTTTCTTGATTTGTATTTTTATTTTGACAAGTCTGAGGAAGTGTAGTAATTGCCTTATATTTGTTTTGATAGTATTGTTGTTCATACGTTTAGTAATGTTGTATTCATCATGTCAAGGAAAATAAAGGAAAAAAAAAGGAATAGATAGAAGTTCTAATACTTTATAAACTGAGATAAATTGGTTAAAAGCTACTCTTTTCCGCTCATTGTCCTTTCTCTTCACCTAATATTCTGGCAAAATCTATCTGGTGAAGAAGTTTTGGGCATTTAGTATAACCAGAAACTTGTGTTTGGGTTGTCTGAATGTGATAACTTCAAACTTTATTTTCAGTCGTTTAATTTGGTTGTTTATGGAAAATTCTAAGGCAAGGTTTTTCACATTGTTTTACACTTTTACAGGGAGGAATTTGAGAAGATTGAAGCATTCACTTCCAAACTACCATTTGAGAGTTGGAACTGTTGCAAGCTGCAGATGTTAAACAGACCATTGGCTCCTGTACTTGTGTTTCTATTTAAAAGATGAAGACTTCAAAATTATGACTGACAGGGACAAATGGATATTTGGAGATCCCTTAATCTTAATCAGTTTATTAGTACAACCTAAGCAACATTGGCTCTTATATTACTTAGCAGTTAATCTTTATTTGTTAATCCTTAATCCAATACTTTTTGGCAAATTATACTATACAAAAAATAACCTTCAATGAATCTTTAGTATATTAAAAATAATCTTATGTAGTAGTCTACATTGCAAGATGGATCATGATCCATGGTATAATGATTGTGGACCGTGGTTTACATTTCAACGTGGACCATGAGTATACATTTTTAATATACATTTTTTTTTGGTGATACATTTTTAATATATTGAATTTATATTAGGAAAATATTATTTGGACTCTCAAGTTTTATCCCCTATTTTTACCCCCTTATTCAAAATTTTGATATTAATATTTTTTTTTTTGGACTCACAGGATGAAGATAACTTATCATCTCTTCCACATCAAGGAGTAAAAGTGAAGGAATTGAGAGTCCATGAATAGAATTCTTTACATTATTTGTAATTTTTTTTTATCTATAGGAAGGGGATACCCTATTACATCAAATGCCTCTCCTGAAGCTACTTCATTATTTGATAATATACTAAATAATGTACATTTAGTGCTCAAATAATATACATTGAAAAATGAATCATTAGTATATTAAAAGGGGAAGCTTAACTTATATTTGAGATGAGTTTTGTGACTTTGTCTCAAAGATGAGCTCCATCTTAATCTTAATCACATTTGACGAAGCTTCTCCTCGATTGCATGTGTGTGACAAAGCTTTGTCTTAGGTTTGTTGGAGGCGGCGCAGAGGTGGCGGTGCGGATACCTACCTCGTAGTATTGACTTGACAAATTAACTATAATTTGTTTAATGTTGAAAAATCCAAAGTCAAAGAGGATTTTGGAAAGTGTATGTCTAAATGACAAGGGATCAACTGGTAGCGAAAATAATTTGAAATTTTGTAGGTATAGAAAAGTCGATAAACCAACAAAATTTTGTTTTCCTTAATTAGCATAAGAAAGAGTGTTTTCAAGCTATACAATTTCAATTCTCTATACAAAGTTATTGTATATATACTAGCGCAAATTTATTCTCTAACCAATATAGGACAAAAGATTTTTCTAAGTCTTTCTACCTTCATTTTTTCAACTCAAATAGGTTTCCTCGAGAATATATTTTTCATTCACTTATTATCCTTTTTGAGCGATTTCTTCGTCTCAGTACAAAGAATCCAAATCCACTTTAATTCGACCCAAAGTATACCTCATGTATATTTGTACCACAAAATAACCACTTAAAATATATTTTTTACTAAAATTTTCAACATAAATTATCACTTTTAACATTTCATTTCAAATGGATCGGAGCTATAAAAGGAAGCCTGAACATCTTAGAGAATGTAAACAAAGTGAGAAAAATAAATTTGCAAAAGTAGCATTCACTTCTCTAAGCACACAAATTAAAGTATTGATCTAGTTCTCAGTTCCTTAACTTTGTAAGGACAATCTTAATTGGAGGAGTTGAAGGTTCAATTCTTGAAGAAGAACATATATGGGTATTCTGGGTGGGAAGTACCAGATCAGATCAGAAGGTTGTTGAATGACTCTTTGAAGCAGTATGTAGATCATGAATAGCAAGAGAGCTTGTTGATCAAATCATGCGAAAGAGATTGGTGCAATTTTGACTAACTTAACGATCAATGCTGGAGCTGAGACTGAGGCATTATTAGTGACTAGTGTATTAGTGTTATTAGGTGGACGACACGTACTATCCGTTGAATCACTATAAATCTAGTTTACATTTCTAACAAACTCAAGCAAATTATTTACAAAGTTTTTTTTTTTTTTTTTTTTTTTTTTTTTTTTTTTTTTTTTTTTGACTTGAAACCACAACCTTCCATATAAGGGAGTAATTTGGTGCCATTACACAACAAGATCCTTGGCAATTTATTTACAAAGTTAAACAAGGTGTGTATATATTTCAAGCACTTTTGTTTTTAGGAAAAATTGCATTTTTAGTCTTTTAGTTATACTCGTGGTACAAACTTAGTCTCTGAGTTATATGCGTGATTGTTTTGTTTTGTTTTTTTTTTTTTTAATAATTATGCGTGATTGTTTTTAATTCGTAATTTATGTACAAAGTGACGATTTTAGTCATCGAAGAACCAAATCAACCAGTCTATTTTTTAAGTTACATATTAGTGGCAAAAATAGCCTGCAATGAAGTAAAATCACCCTTTCACGCGTAACTTAAGAGTTAAGATAATTACACATATATACTAAGTCATACTATGAGTATAACTGAATAACCAAAAATATAATGCAGATTTAAAAAAAAATAGAAATACTTTACGGGAAAAAAGGAAGTTTTTCAACAAAACAGTCAAGTGTATTATATTAATGGATACATAGCTTCTCTATTTTATCAAACAACTAAACCTACTTGTGCTCTCTTAGAATCAACTTGTATTAAAAAAAAAAAAAATTGTAAATTGGCTTTTATGTCTCTTTTAAGGAAGAGTAAACAAAGACAAAACAAACTGAATTTAATTTACAAATTAAAAATACCCTAACAAACTGTTAGGTAGTGGCTTAGAGAAGCGAGGGAGTCTAGCAGCCTGTTATCGAAATATGGCACTCACTGTTATATAAGTATAATGAAATAAAATTGCACACTCATTATTAATTAGCTATATATAATTTTTGACGTAATAATAAATACTTAATCTTGACACAAACTTAGCTGCCTCCAAACATTGTTACTAACTCCAATTCTAGTATATTATACTAGAGATCAGATTAACAACTGGTGTGGCAATTGAAAGGTCATATTTGTATATATTTAAAACTAAAAATAATAATAGTTTAAAATGACAGACAATTAATAAATGAAAAAGTGTAACTTTTCCAAACATACGTATAACTCAATCTAAATGGTTATCTTCCCACCATAAGCGTTGCCATTAACGTAAGAATATTGGAATCCAACAAAAACACAAAGCCAAACTAAAGCAATCAACATGCAATATAATAAAAGCAACATGAAATTCAATAGAACTAGTCGAGCCACATATTGTAATATAGAATGCAATATTTTTTTGGTTACATTACGTTTCCCAACTTACGCTAGATTTAAGTCCTGTGTGGTAAATGACTGGTAGCTGATAGCGGATTAATTAGTTGATAACATTAGCTGATTGTAGAAAGGTGTTTGGTAAATTAGCTGTTAGCTGATAGCTGTTTGGTATAATTTCTTTTCTCAAAAAGTTAATTGAAAAAGTTGTTTTGAGCCGTTTTTTGAATTTTAGCATTTTGGAGTTATAAACAGCTAACTAATCAAACACTTATATTAATTTTTTAACCAGGTCAAACAGCTAATAGTGGTCGAATAAGGCAAAATTGGCCTATACGCTAACTATTTTACCAAACAGGACCTTAATCCTACGTCCCCAGAATCCATGTCGTCCAAGAGTAACTGGATGAGATAAATCGTGAGTCGCCCAAACAGTCTCCTACTCATCAGCCCGTGGAGTCGAACTTCTATATATCCCGCCGCTAGTTAGAGTGGTGACTTAAGGTCAGGTGATCTACCAGTTGCTGATACTATAATATGTGTAGGTATTGCTGATAAGGCAGTTGCCACGTCAAATGTGTGTTGGCTTAAGTGGCAACACTTTCCAAGTTAATTAAGAAAAAGCAAGTGGAAAAGCGATAGGTTAGAAGTGATTAGGACGCCATATCATTATGGGACGGCGGCGTTTCCGCCCTCTAAAGGCCGTTTAATCGCACTTGTGGCGGCCTTTTTAATTACCTCTTCTCTTCTCAACGAGTTGGTTTATCCATATTGGGAGAAGAAGAAGAGTTGGTTTATCCATACCCTTGATCGAATTGCCAGCTCAATAATTTGGTGGGACCCAAAAGCGAAAGATCGAAATTCACAAGGGCGAAATTAGAAATTCAATACAATTTTAATTCTCACGTTGATCATGTTCGACAAGCATATATCTGATGACTGCCTTTAATTTCTTCCAAAGTTCCAATTTTCTTGTTCCCCACTCTTTTGACTATGTATTACTTTTCGTAAATGAATCATTAAACAATTTTTCAGGAATGTTTGGAAACTTCTTCTTCTTCTTTTAAAGAATAGTTTTTAACAGTAAAATATATTGATTCTAAAGGATAAGATCATAAAAATAACATCATATTATAATAGAATTTGATAATTATATAATACTAGAAACTAAAAGTGTAACATTATAAATAATTAAAAGGCTAAATGTATTTAAATTAACTTATATGGACTAAATTTACAAAAGTGAAACAATTCAAGGGTCAAAAGTGTTATTTTTCATAAAAACATTGAATATTAAAAATACGTAATTAATAAAAGATAAGCATTTTGTAATTTGACGAAAGTGAATGGGTTAGTTCATTCTTGTAATATATCACTATCACATACATCTCTTACTATTTTTAACATTATATTTGATATTGTTATGATTTTTTTTTAAACATTCATGATTCTTTACAAACTAAGGTATTATTTGTTCTATACTTTTCCAATCATTCTCAAATATAATCCAATAAAGTAAAGCTCCCACCATCTTGATTCGATCCTACGATCACCACCTATTTGGAATGGTGATGGAGTGATATTGTTATGGTTTAATTTGGTATGAAATCAACTCCTAATTTTATTTTTATTAAACAAAACTATGGTATTTTCTTTTCAGAAAAAAAGAAATTAATTATAAAATAAAATCATATCATTGCATTTCATATTTGTCTATAAAATAATGAAGCCAGTTGTCAAATTAAATGCTTCCTCTATCAAAAATTGATTTGTTAGTTGTGTTTGATGACATGGTTTTGAATAAAACAAATTATATATATATATATATATATATATATATATATATATATATATATATATATATATATATATATATATATATTCTTTAAAGTTTATCTTTCACTTTTTGACGTTTAAGAAGTTAAAAGGACCATCTATCTAATTAAAAAAAACAAAGTGGATAAAATAAGAAAAATAAAATGTTAGTAATGTATGTTTGTTACGATATATTTTTAAAGAAACAACTGGATAAGTATAAGATTATATATAAAAGTTACAAAATAGAAATTGACATTAAAATAGGGAGGAGTACGTACCATACTATAAACACTTGTAGTCTTACAGCTCAAGTGTTGCTTGCGTGGGTCTGTTGACTTACAGCTCAAGTGAATAATATACTTTACAGTTTACATGGCGTTTGGTTGAGAGAAGGGAATTAGAAAGGAAAAGAATTATAATTTTGTAGAAAAATAAAAGATTGGAATAAGGTAAGAATCCAAAATACATTGTTTGATATAAAAGAATAGAATTATTAGAATGGGAATGAAAGAAGTGATATAAAGACTAAAATGTCCTTATGTAATAATAATAATAATAATAATAATAATAATAATAATAATAATAATAATAATTCATAGGGGAGCTATGAATTACAAATCAATGAATTGAAAGAATTACAATTCCATGAAATTATCATTTCCTCTCACCAAACAATGTTCCTTTGACCTTTCAAAGCAGGGTGCCAACCAAACAACATGTCACTATGGATTATGGTAGTAGGATGAGTAGGATATGAAGTAAAGTAAAAATTAAATATGAAAATGGAATAGGATGAATGAGATATACTCACTATTAATTAGATAAAGCATCAATGATTGAATAAGGTGAAAGTCAAGTTAATTTAGAATTGGTCAAGTTGGGAAGGGTAGGTGTGGATTAGAGTTGGGATGCAACGTGGGATGGTATAGGTGAGGGTGGGGGTTTGGTGGTTTCGTGAAAGGGTAGATGGAGTATAAAAAGTTAAGAGTGTCTTTGGAAACTCGAAAAATGATTTTTAGAAATTATTTTTTGGATTTTTCAGTGTTTAGGGCATGGTGGAAAATTGGAGTCAACAGAAAATGATTTACAGTCAAAGGAAAAATAGTTTAATTTTTTTTTTTTTTTTTTGTTGTTGGGAAGTCATTTTTCGAATCCAACTACTTCTTCTTCCTGATTTCTTTCGAGAATGCTTCATTGGCTTTCTTCTGCCATCCTCCGTTTTCTATCTTGACTAGTTTTCGACAAAACCAGTACAAACCATACTGGTTTTCGTCAGAAACCAGTAGAAAGTAGACTGATTTCAGAAGAAAACCAGTCTAGTTTCTATTGATTTTTGACAAAAACCAAGCTGGGTTGTCATGGTTTCCGTCGATAACTAGTAGAAACCCGTATTTTTTTAAATATTTTTTTTTGTTATTTGAAAAAAATAGCTGGGTAAAACATAGTTGTTGTGAAATCTTTTTTAGTTTAACAACAATTAAAATGTTAATTATACAATTTTACTTATTTTCTAGAAAATAAACCAAACACAACAGAGATAATTTTTTAAAATGCAACCGAACACAATAAATGCAAATATTTTTTGAAAAACGACTCATTTTTAAAAAAATATTTTTTAGAATTTGTTTTTATGAGAGAGACCGAGAGAGAGGGAAACTAGAAAAGCTAGGCCAACAAAAAAAAAAAAAGGAGAAGAATATGAAAATACTGAAATGAATGAAAAACAAAAACATCATTGGTACAGATAGAACATAGACCAAAATAGGAAAAGTCTGCCAAAAAGTGATTAGCATCCTAGCCATCATTTTTCTGGTTGAATTTTCTTCTTAAAAACATTTTTTAAAAAATGAGTCTCAATTTCAAAATCATTAATTTCTTGTCTTAAAATTAAATAAAGGAGTAAATCGTAGAATGTGTGTTAGTAGAGTAGAATTCGAATGTTGCATGTAATTAGGGACCTAATATTTATGGTAGGGTCCAAACTATTCACACTACGACTCCTTTCCCGTTATTATTCACATTCATTTTTTTAACCATTAACCTATATCCTAAAGGACGGTTGAGTTTTCTTCTAGATCTCATGCTCCATGTACAATATTGAGAAACCAACATTGTTGAATGTGTACACAATTCTCAAGATTTTTTTTGGAAAGATTATGAAAACATTTTATTATTTTGTGTTTGTGACTTTGAAAAAGAATATATATTTTTAAATAAAAAAAATAAGAACTCAAGTTATTTTTTTTTAAATACATGAGTGGACTATAAAATGAGATCAATGAAATGCTTATGTGAGATGGGTTGATTTTTGAATGTCTAATAGAAAGTGGGTACTTTATAATTACTGGCAAAAATGAAGTTAAAAAAACAAACAAAAAAGAAAAAGAATGCAACAATTGACTGATTGAGTCGCATGCATGCGCTCAGCACATGCGTGGAGGCGTGGAGCACCGCCATTTCCTTATTATTATTTTTTTTTTAGTCATATAGACAAGTTCATGAATTGAAAATAATGTTTTTTTTAAAAAAATTTAAAATAATCTCATATATTGATATGGAAGTATGGAACAATCAAATACTCTAAATTAAACTAAGTGGCATGTGGTCCATTGGTATCGAATTGCTCCCCTATGTGGGAGGTTTAAGTTTTGAGCTTCAGAGTAGGCGTAAATTTGTATGAGTATCCCCCTTCCTAAAGAAAAAATATGGTGATAATTTGCATTCAGCGTATATAGAAGTGTACTTGAGTTGGTTGCATTTTAACACACCTATTGGTACGATGCACTTTCAAATTTTACTTTATGTATATATATTCGTAATAATTATGAAATTAGCACCATATTTTTCCTAGAAAGTGTTTAGTAGTCAAGAAAGTTAAAACTTTCTTGCAATTTAAAAGGTCAAAAAATTATGGCACAAGTGTCACATAGACCCATCTACTACTGCGAAGTGCTCAATTCCCACCACAAACTAAATTAAGTGTCAAATAGGCCCATCTACCAGCTAAATTTGTTCGATTGACATTTTTTACAGGTTGCCTATCTAATTATTAAAAATAAATAAATAAATAGAATAAAAAAAAAAAAAAGAATATCAGCCGCCGGACAGCCACAGCTGTCTGCGAAAGGGCTGACTTTGAAATGTTCGAGTCAACTAGAAATTAGATTTCTTAAAATCAATAAAAATAAATCCAACCAATGGGTCTAAGATTCTTTTTCCAATCCAACCAATGGGTCAACCCGGATTCAATTCCCACAAGTGACGATTCCCTTTGGGTCAGTTTCTGTGCCTCTCAGAGCGAACCGGGTGTACCTGGACCGTTACACGGACAGAGAAAGATCGGGACCACATTGTGGTTTACACCAAAAAAAAAAAAAGAAAATATAAAATTTATTAAATTACATATTTACCATTTTTAGTGTTAAATAAAAAAATTCTCACATATTTGTCTTTTCTTTTACATATTTGAAGAAAAATAATACTTCACAATTTAAAAGAAAATCCCAACTCACCACAGAAAGATTACAACTCACAAAAAATGCACATCGTTGCTTTAAATATTATATATATATATATATATATATATATATATATATATATATATATATATATATATATATGGAAAACTTCAAATGCGGCAGGGGCTTTAGGTGCAGCGGTGCGGTCATATCAGCATCGTCCATTCTACTTAATCTAATGGTAGCGGCTAATTTCTGAAGATTTGAAGATTTAAGCGCGTATTGGTAAGTGAGTGGTGTTATGGTAATTATAGTGGTCATTTATATCGGTCGCTTGACGGAATACACCAACATTGTTAACAAAAGACACCAATAGTGTTAGGAAAAAGTACAACAATGAAATGCACAAATACACCAAAAAAAGCACACAACACACCCAAAAAATACACCATATAACTCACCACCACAATGGTGTATTTTCGAACACTTTGTGGTGCTTTTATTTATATCTAATGGTGCATTCTGGTGATGCGTATCTAATTTGTGCATGTTTTTTTGGTGTGCATTTTCTACACATTGATGGTGTATATTTGTATAACTATTAGTGCGCCCGCACTGACCGCACGAGAAGACGCGGACGCACCTGAACTTGACACCAACACGAATCCTCAAATACACCACAGTAAGGTTAATAATGCACCAATAACGAACATAAAACACACAACACTATGATTTGATATATTATGGTGCCCAATAACAACTTTAACCTTGCAATTCGCATAGTGTGAGAACGTGAGCGAAAACATTGGAGAAGCCTTATGAATGTGATTCATTGGATTTATCTAATCTAGTGGCCTGTAATTGACCGCACCGCCGCACTTGAACCTTCCCCTCTCTCTCTATATATATATATATATATATATATATATATATATATATATATATATATATATATATATATATATATATATACACATATAATTGGAGCACAATTAAAAGCCTAAGCTGTTAGTTGGATTGCACATTAATGGCTATATGCTCACATATATATATATATATATATATATATATATATATATATATATATATATATATATATATATATATATATATAGAGAGAGAGAGAGAGAGTTGCACTCGGGTGCGAACGGCTCGCCCAGGCGCGAAATAGGAATGGATTCTGTTCGTCCACGTGTCCAGATCTAATGGATGAGAAACACTGATTTTTTAAAAAAACGCGGTGGCATTTTCGTAAATAATTGAACATCGAAGTGCAAGTAAAATGTATTACAAGTGCATGTAAAATGTATTATAGGTGCAAGTAAAAATTTACACTGAGCATCAATACTTAGTTGCACTAATAGTTCTAAGTAGTTGCAACTATAGTTCTAAGTAGTTGCACACATAGGTATAAGTAGTTGCATCTAGGTGTATGAATGTTTGCGAGTGATTTTCAGGAGTATTACTACCCGCTGAACTCAGATCAATGAATGTTAACAAGACAAAATTACATGCACTTATAGGTGAAAGTAGGTGCACATATAGTTATAAGTAGTTGCACCTATAGTTATAAATAGTTGCACATATAGTTATAAGCACACCCAGGTGCATGAATGGTTGCGGAAAGTGAATGCTAACAAGGCAAAATTACATGCACTTATAGGTGAAAATAGGTGCACTTATAAGAGATTTTACTTGCACTTCGATGTTCAATTATTTACGAAAATGCCACTGCGTTTTTTTTTTAAATTATTAGATCTGGACACGTGTCACGCGCTGATTCGTTCGCATTTCCTTCCTGGACACTTATTCGCACCTGAGTGCGCCCCTATATATATATATATATATATCTGCACATAATAACATACTTTTTAAGAGTTTAATTATCTATTTCATCATTTGTATTAATGGTTTGAGTTAGTATCCTTGTTTATATGCAGTAATGGCATATTTGAGATTTAAAATTTTTTCTAACAAAGTTTAAACAATTCAAATGTTGTATTATTAAACATGTTTAAATAACTTTTCTAACAAAATTTCTCCTAATTTATAGCCATTGACCATATTAAGATCGATAAATGAGATTATTTTATATTTTCTTTAAATAAGAAGTATTATTCTCATATTGATTGGTTTTTATTGAAAATAATAAGCAAATAGCAATTGCAGATCATAAAAGTTCAATGATCAATATGACCCTTTTTCTTTAAATAAATAATAAATGTCAATAATAAAAATGATTCAATTAATTAAAACATTAGAAATATAACCTATCAAAAGATTAAAATAAGATCATAAGATAAATTTAATCCCACTATAACAATTGGGTCAAAAAATATTGGAGGGGAAGGAAGAATGATAATATAATATGGTACGCGTCGAATGGGGATAGCGTGAGATTTGGACCATTCATATGTGGTGCCGCCCTTTACTATTTTAATTGTTAACTGTCTCACGTTGCCTATATATAGGGAGACATTCTCTAAATGCCTTCATTCAACCAGGCTGCACTTGCATATTTTCCCAATATACTTTAAAACAAATAATAATCAAAATTATAATAGAAAAGGAAAAAAGTTTTCTCCCATCTTTCACGTTCACCAAATAATCATTATGTCTTCAACCGACAACATTTTCTCCGACGGCGAAGTCGCCGAACTGGACCTCCAGATCATAACTTCCGGCGGCCGTCGCATTCCGGCGCAGTCCTCCGTTCTGGTAAAAATCTGTCTATCGCAAGCCTCACGGCCTTCATTTTATCTGAAATGAAACCTTTTGGTTCTGATTCCTGAGTTGATTGAATGCATAATTTCAGGCGGCGGCTTCGCCAGTTCTGGAGAGCATAATTGAGCGGCCGAGAAAGCGGCGGAGCTCCGAGAAAACAATCCGGATTCTCGGCGTACCCTGCGACGCCGTTTCAGCCTTCGTCCAGTTCCTCTGTTCTTCCAAGTAAGTTCCCAAAATCGCGCTAGTCAATCGTCCAGATTTGCACGATTTCGAGGGCTTTAGAATATAGTAGGATTTTGTAGACAAGCCAAATATTTCTATTTTTTTTTATGCCGAATGTTCATTCATTGCCTTAATTCAAAGATACGTAATCTAACGCTAAATAAAATCGAATCTTACACCTGCAAGTCCGTGGCCGCACAGATAATTTAAGAAAATTCCTTGAAAATTTGTTTTGTTTTGTTTTTGTTTCAAACTAAATTGTATAATTTGTTAAATATGACTGTTTATTAGAAGTTTACCTATTATCTAATGACCGAATACATAATTAGTGCTGAATAAAAGGAATCCCAGCTCTCTGTTTCCTAATTGTTTCTATCTTTTTCATTATATGTCTTTTTCATTTTATTTGGTTAATGCTGTTTAACTATAATTATTTTGTATTCAATTTTTATGATATTCAGTATATAAAATATTAAAATGTATATATTTTGAAACTGCATTAAAAGTAGTATTAAAAAAAATAAAGAGTTTTTTTGCACTTTTGGACTCACGACTATAGTGGCACTATCAGGATTGATCCACGACTTTCAAACTTTGTAATCTCGGTCTACGACTATTGTTTTTCATTTCAGCTCATTTTCCGTCAATTTTACATTTTTACGGCCCGCTTTTGCCGGAAATGGTTCTTACTCTGGTGAGAAATTGCCGGAAAATGAGCCGAAATGACCATTTTTGCAAAAGAAATAATACTCCTGGATTGAGATTGCAAGTGCGAAAAAATTCAAAAATAAACAAGCCAACTAATATGTATTGTGATGGCTTACTATTATAAATGGATAGTATATTATTGAATCGAATCATGAGTGTTTCCAAAAAAAAAAAATATTGAAAAGTATATTATAGAATAGATACTACATTAGTACATTCTAACGAAAAATAGGACAAATTGAGTAAAGGTTGGAAGTTTGTGGACTCAGGACAAATTTCATTTTAGATTTTTTTTTTTTGGGTGATTTTTTTTTCACTTTTATTCTTTAACATTAAAATTCAACTACGTGTAAAATACTAAAATTTTGATCCTCTATATTTTATTGTTGGTCCTAGATTTATAAGTGACGGTCCACTTTTAGTCCTAAAGTGGATATTTTGATAAAAATAAACTAAAGTGAATTGTCACCTATAAATTTAAGACCAAAACTGAAATTAACTCTAATTTTTATTTTAAAGTCTGAGAACTTGAAGCGTAAAATCACTGGATTGGAGGATTAAAAAAATGGAATTAGTCTTAATTAATAATTAATTGTATAGCTGTATTTGTTTGCGGCGATCAATGAAAGTGTCCTGAATCCTTGGGGTTTGGTATGAAAACGATGTATGTTTTTTATGAAATGATTGAATAATCAACGCTAAATATCTCAGCCGTCTGCGTCCTTATTGTGCTACACGTTGCAAGTTTGTGGCCACATAAATAATTTATGGCCACCCAATCAATATTTTTGTCTTGATTCTCTGTACTGAAATTTTCTAGCTTGATCATAATGCAATGACTGAAATGATCTGGTGTCCAGGTGTGGTGAGGAACAACTGGAGAAACATGGGATTCATCTGCTAGCACTGTCCCATGTTTACTTGGTGCCACAGCTAAAGCAGAGATGCATCAAGGGGTTGGTCGATCGTTTGACCATTGAGAATGTTGTGGATGTGCTTCAACTTGCAAGGCTTTGCGACGCCCCTGATCTTTACCTCAAATGCATGAAACTGTTATCCGTGAATTTCATGAAAGTTGAGGAAACTGAGGGTTGGAAATTTCTGCAGTTCAATGACCCATGGCTTGAACTCGAAATCATGCAGTTCATTGATGAAGCTGAACTGGTAATTATATCAAACTCAATACCAAACTTGGTTTGCCAGTTAAGATTGTGCAATTAGAATAGTGATAGTAATCTAATAATTGTGATTTGGTGGTGTAGAGAAAGAAGAGGACGAGGAGGCTCAGAGAGGAGCAGAAGCTGTATTTACAGCTAAGCGAGGCGATGCATTGTCTGGAGCATATATGTCAGGAAGGATGCACGATCGTAGGGCCATCTCATATGGATCCTACCAAAAAGAAGCTGCCTTGTAGCAAGTTCACCACATGCCAAGGCCTCCAGCTTCTAATTCGACATTTTGCTATGTGTAAGAAAAGGGTGAATGGCAACTGTTTGAGATGCAAGCGTATGTGGCAGCTTCTTAGGCTACACTCCTCAATCTGTGACCAACCTGAGGAATGCGCAGTTCCCCTTTGCAGGTAAATTAACATACATTTCTTTACTAATTTTAATCTCTTGTTATCCTGTTTGTTTTCTAGTTTCTTGTCATCTTATATGATGTGTTGCTTCTTTTGTCCGTTTTGGATAAAAATCACATACTTTTCATGTATAGTCACTTAGTTGTCATTTTCTCCTTTCCATTTGGTATTCACCCTACTATATATCACCTTAATAAAGACCACCGGATTGCTAAATATCTTCTCTCTGAACTGTGTAAAGTGCCAAGTGTTGAACTTAAAAAGTTTTTGTCAATCACAAGAACATTCTAAGACAATGTTTGCTCTACTTTTTGAAACACTTTGATTGAAATTATGTGGCTGCTATTTTCTGTTCCAAGAATAATCATAGAACTTATGGATAAGGCCAGTGTGATATTTTTTTTCCATACAAAATATCAGTTGAAGATGATTAAATTAACTGTATACGTACATCAGTAGGCAATGTCATTTTCTAATCAAAATGATTTTCATTGTCCTTATCCTTATCGTTCTGTCCGGACACAGACAATTCAAGTTGAAGGTACAACAAAAGAGAGACGATGCTCGATGGAAACTGCTGGTGAGGAAGGTGGTGTCGGCCAAAGCTATGTCCTCCTTATCTCTACCAAAGAGGAAGAGAGAAGAAGAGGAACCCAGAATGAAGAAGATGAATCATCCTCAGATGAGAAGCTTTAGTTTACAAGCTTTCAGTGAAGGATTGGAAGCTGCTACTTAGTTACCACGGTTTAGTACTCCTGAATGAATCTGCAGAATGGTTCATTCTAATTAAGGCAATGAGCTGTTACCTGTTAGCAATTATATATATATGGGTCCATGTCATATTGTCATGTCCTGTTTATTTGTGGGTCAACTTAATTTGTATCATAAATCCTTGTAAAATTAATGTGTGCACGGATTTTTTTTTTCTTTTTGTAAAAAAAAAAAGGAAGAGAAAGTGTTGTAGATCAAAAGGAAATGTTGGCAAATTATGGTTAGTGCATATTAATTTCTTGTTTTCAAAAAGAAATTTAAAAGATTAGTTGGCAAATATTATATATATATATATATATATATATATATAGAGTAAGGTTCAAGTGCAGCAATGTCCTTAGGTGCGGCGTCATTAATAATTCATCAAATATATACATCATCAATGTTAAGAAAATGCAACACAAAAACACATACAAATTAGGTACGCATCACCAAAATCACACCATTATGTGTGAGTAAAAACACTATGCAGTTTTCAGAAATATACCATTGGGGGTGATGTGTTATATGATGTATTATTTTGGGCATGTTGTATATTTTTTGATTTTTTTTTTTCTTTTCATTTCATTGTGGTGTGTTTTCTTTCCACTATTGGTGTATTCTGAAATTCCGCAGCATTTGAACTTTTATATATATATATATATATATATATATATATATATATATATATATATATATATATATATATATATATATATATAGCTGGGAGTATTCTTCTAACAAACTTCTAACACTCCCTCCCAAGTTGGAGCATAGATATCAAACATGTCCAACTTGTTACATATATATGAAACCCGATTCTTACACAGCCCTTTCGTGAAAATGTCAGCCAGTTGATCACCGCTCCGAACGTGTGTAAGTGATATTAGTCCTTGCTCCACTTTCTCCCGTATAAAATGGCAGTCAACTTCAATATGCTTCGTCCGCTTGTGAAAGACTGGATTACTTGCGATGTGTATGGCAACACAATTATCACACCACAAATCTATCGGTAACTTCACTTCAACACCCACTTCTTTTAGAATGTTACGCACCCAGACTATTTCACTCGCCACATGAGCCATAGCCCGGTATTCCGACTCTGCACTTGAGCGCGACACCACATTCTGCTTCTTACTCTTCCTCGATACCAAGTTGCTTCCTACAAACACACAATAACCTGTCATAGACTTCCTGTCACCCGGTGAACCAGCCCAGTCTGCATCGGAGAACGCCTCAACACGCATATATCCGTGGTCAGCGTAAAGAATCCCTTTTCCAGGAGCACCTTTCAAATACTTCACAATCCGAACTGCCGCTTCCCAGTGAGTCTGGGTCGGTGCACTCATGAATTGACTAACCACACTCACTGGAAATGCAATATCCGGACGGGTAATTGTGAGATAATTCAGTTTTCCTACTAACCTCCTGTACCTCTCCGGATCTTCAAACGGCTCCCCTTCTCCTGCCAATAACTTCACACCTTGGTCCATGGGCGTATCACACGGTTTTAACCTAAGCAGCCCCGTGTCACCGATCAAGTCCAACACATATTTCCTCTGCGAGAGGAATACGCTCTTCTTAGAGCGTGCAACTTCAATTCCCAGAAAGTACTTCAACACTCCCAGATCTTTAGTATGAAACTCAGTCCCGAGAAAGGACTTGAGTGCCTCGATCCCACTTGCATCACTGCCTGTAATTACAATATCATCTACATATACTATCAACAAAACACACCCATAGTTAGTATGTTTGTAAAAGATAGTGTGATCATATGCACTTCTCTGCATTCCAAACTCAACACCCGCGTTGCTAAACCGCCCAAACCACGCACGCGGATATTGCTTTAACCCATATAAAGACTTCTTCAGCTTGCACATTTTCCCAGACTCCCCCTGAGCAACAAACCCCGGTGGTTGCTCCATATAAACCTCCTCACGCAAGTAGCCATGTAAGAAAGCATTTTTCATATCAAGCTGATGCAAGGGCCAATGACTCGAAGCTGCCAAAGAGATAAATATTCGCACAGAGGTTAACTTGGCCACTGGAGAGAACGTCTCGGTATAATCTATACCATACGTCTGGGCATACCCCTTGGCCACCAAGCGTGCTTTGAGTCTAGCCACAGAACCATCCGGGTTCATCTTAACCACATACACCCATTTACACCCAATAGCAACCTTACCAGGGGGAAGCTGCACTAGATCCCAGGTATGGTTTTCCTCAAGAGCGTCTATCTCCTCTACCATCGCACGCCTCCAACCATCATGGGACATAGCCTGACTCAAAGACTTTGGAACAGAAACAAATTCTAACTAGGACACAAAAGCACGTGAAGACGCCGATAAATTGGTATATGACGCAAAGGACGGAATGGGACGAACACAACGACACGTACCTTTCCGAATGGCGATAGGAACATCCTGGTCTGTCGACGAAGATTCTGGTAAGGGAGGATTTACCGGTGGGGCTGCGCGCGTATCAACTTCTCTGAGCCGCCTGTGATAAACCTGTGTAACAGGAGGCCTAGACTCCACTCTTCCTACGGAGTCAGGGATAGTAACAACATATGTTAGAAAATCACCTGTCTCGGAACTACAACCAGACGAACCAGGGAGAACCTCACTGAACAAAGTATTCTCGAAGAATGAGACATCTGCAGAAACCAAGTATCGCCCCAAATTCGGGGAGTAACATCGATACCCTTTTTGAGTACTCGAATATCCCAGGAAAATACACTCTAACGACTTAGGATCGAGTTTCCCTCTTTGAGGACGAACATCCTGGACAAAACAAGTACACCCAAACACTTTAGGAGGAAGGCAGAACGACGGTTTGGAAGGATAGATGAAGTGACAAGGACTTTGACCCCCAAGGACCCTTGTAGGTAGGCGGTTTATTAAGAAACACGATGTATGAACAGCATCTGCCTAGAAAATCCTGGGGACTTTCATTTGAAACAACAAGGCCCTAGCAACCTCCAACAGATGACGATTCTTACGTTCTACCACACCATTCTGTTGAGGAGTGCTGACACAAGACGACTGATGTAACATCCCATCCGGACTCATATAACTCGAGAAGGAATGAGAAAAATACTAAGTCCCATTATCACTCCGCAAAACCTGTACCATTTTATTGAACTGAGTTTTGACCATCGCATAGAAATTACAAAAGATCCCAAACAACTCATCTCTAGATTTCATGAGGTATAGCCAAGTGTGTCTAGAGAAATCGTCTACAAAAGTTACAAAGTATTTAAACCCAGATTTCGATACTACTCGACATGGACCCCATACATCTGAGTGAACCAATTGAAATGAAGACTCGACTCTATTATTGACTCTAGGAGGGTATGGTACCCGACAATGCTTAGCAAGCTCGCATGACTCACATTGCAAGCTAGACAAAGACTCTGACCCCAGACACAACCTCTTTAAGATAGACAAAGACGGGTGACCATACCGGGAGTGCAACTGCAACAGAGACATATTTCCCAATAAACCAATCGGAACACCTTCAGAATCCTTGGACAACCGTTCTAACACGTACAACCCACCGACCTCCTTCCCTTTACCAATAATCGTCTTCGTCAACAGATCCTGGAACAGACAATAACCAGGGAATAACATGACACAACAATTTAGGTTCCGGGTAATTTGACTAATTGACAACAAATTGAATGGGAACTTTGAGAGATATAACACAGAAGTGAGAGGTAACGACGAACTAACATTCACACTACCTTTACCTAAAACAGAGGTAGATGAACCATCTGCTAAGGTAACCGTAGGACCATATTTAAAAGAACAATATTCGGAAAACATACTTAGATTTCCTGACATGTGGTCACTGGCTCCAGAATCAATGACCCATTGTCGAGACGAGGAGGAAACACAAGCAATAGGATTACCTGTTTGAACAAAGATAGCTGAAGGAGACGGCAATGACCCTGGACTAGCGGGAGGCTGGGAGGAAGATAGCTTTAATTGATTAAACAAAGCCAATTCTTCTTCAGTTATTATAACCGTGTTCCCTTCTGGTCTAGAGGCAGAATTAGCAAATCTCCTATGGTCGGAGAGTTGTGGGCATTGGTTGCGCAGATGCGGGATCACCACAGTTGTAGCAAGCCCTTTGCCCTCGACCTCCTCCGCGCCCTCTACCTCGTCCCCTGAACCGAGCTCCTCGACTATTGGCACTATCAGTCCCACTATCTCCCTGTGAGAAAAAGACTTGTTTCTCTAACGTACCATCAGTACTAAGGTTAACTGACGCATTTTGAACCATAGAAAAAACTTGGTCGAGCGAGTCCAATTCCTTATTCCCCAATAATTGTGATTTCAAAACATCATACTCCTTATCCAACCCAGAAATCCAACTAAAAATGTGCAACTGATCACGTTGTTTTTTCATTTTATCCACTTCATCAATAATCGGCATAGCAGCACACAACGCCTCACTCACATTTTTGAAGTCATAATAGTAATCCCTGATGTCCCACCCTTTTTTAGACGGCCGATGAACATCCTGGGACAACTGATATAACTTCCTCAAATTATTTGCCCCGCTAAACCACTTATTCACTAAATCCCACACTTCCTTCACACTCTTACAGTGTTGTAAAGATAGGATTATTTTCCTATCAATACAATTTATTACACGCGAAAACAGGGCGTCATCATCTTTCTGCCACGCTTGGGCTTCGGTAGGGTCCGCCGGACATGTTCCAGTTAAATGTCCAGCTTTACCCATACCCTTCAAGTTTACTTCAACTAAGAACTTCCCTTCCCCAAAATTGGAACCATCAGGTGCCAACACCAAATTAACCAATTTAGATTGAGTTGACACCACAGTAATAGTCCTATTTTCTGCCATAATAAACACACACAAGAACCAACTTGGAAGTGCAGCACTTCACTTTTACGTAGAAGACAAAACCCGATATGGACTTACAGTAGAACACACGCAGTAGAAGCCAGATCTGGAAACAGGCAGCCCACGCCAAACCCCCTCAACACCGGACGAGGATACCACTGCAGGGGCGTTGGGTGCACGGAGACGAAGCTAACCGCGAAAGCGGCGACCGGAGGCGATGTCGAAAAACAGTGCACGCGCCAACGCATGGCGTCGGAGCCCCAGAAGTGTGGCGGCGCGTGAGTCCTCCGGCGGCTGCTCTGTTCCTCCCGGCGGCGGCGCCTCCTCTTTCCGACCAAAGCCCACC